ACTCTAGTGGCTACTGTTGTGATCTAAATATTCTGTTAATTGGTCTGAAAGTTTGTTTTGATGATTTCTAAGTCAAGATCGAACATGGGTCATCTTGGATGAAAAACTAGGTCACACCACCCAAATATGGAAAAACTTTGTTAACATTCTAGTGGTCACATTTTCGACTCAATTATCATCAAACTTGGTCAGGATGCTTGTCTAGGTAATTGCTTGGATGAGTTCGAAATCACATGTGAAACCGGAGCTAAAAATAGAAAAATCTTGTTAACACTGTAGTTGCTACTGTTTTGATTCTAGTTGCTACTGTTTTGATCCAGGTATCCTGGAAATTGGTCTGAAAGTTTGTTTTGATGATTTCTAGGTCAAGTTTGAATATGTGTCACCTGGGTAAAAAACTAGGTCGCACTGCTCAAATATGGATAATCCTTTTTAACCCTGTAGTGGTCACATTTTTGACTCACCTGTCATGAGACTTGGTCAGAATGCTTGTCTAGGTAATTGTTAGGATGAGTTTGATAAGTCAGGTGAGCAATCTAGGGCCATCATGGCCCTCTTGTTCCAGTTTACCAGGCATGGGGCAATAATTTAAATGAATTAAAGCCCTTCTTGTTAACAATGCAGTTTGTATAGCTTTTTGGGTTTTACATTGGACCATCATTGCAATGGTCATATGGTAACTTTCCAGCTTTACTGGTTGAGGAAGTCCTCGGCTGCCACTCCATGTATTAGTTCTGGCACCGGAGCAGAACCATTGACATTCCGTTACCTGATTTACTAACAGATACCATTACATATTATCGAACCAGAAAACAAACTAGGATGTTGAAGTCTTATACATTTTATTATCATTGATATTTGTATTATACATTTTTAACAACAGATATAGTGTAAAAATAAACAGATCCATTCCTAATGTATGAAATGTAGTTAACTTGTATGCTGTAATAATAACATTATAATTTGTAAGAAAATCTGTACATCGTCCCTGTAGCAAAATAAAATCTCGCACTCTACATAACTTTTATCACACGCAACAAAGTTTTTCCTATAAAAACTCACAACAAAAGTTTTTCATATTCACACTGTATTACCGGTGCCAGTAATGACAGATTGCAGCAGTGATGATAGAAATCTTACTGATTACTACAGTCATCACTGCAGGGACCTGTTATCGCTGGTGCCGATAATACAGTGTGATATTAAGTTTTGTTTGAAATCAAATATTTACATGCAACATATAGCATTACAATAGTAACACTTCAAGAATATATCCAGTGTAATACCGAACATGTTAAATTTGCATACTGTCATGCAAGTATTTTTTTTTTAATTAAATACATTCCTTAAATGAATTAGGTAAAATTGTAACAAGGTCACAGCTCAAGATACAAGGTATTTTTGAAAAAACATTTTCAGTATGTTTATTCTTAACTTAAATACCATAAATCCAACGTATATAGATTACCACAAAAGTCTTCCAGTCTAAGGGTGTTTATAAGATGTAAATAATTATAGCAGTTGATAATTGTTACAAACTTCGACAGCCCAAAAAAATTTATCATTTGCCTATGCCCTACTTTATCAAAAATAGCCAAAATTTGAGAGAACTTAAAAAAGATCTTGTCAAAAGCCTCGATACATTTACTTCAATACTTCATTTATCTTTAAACTAATTAGAACAAAAGTATGGTTCCTTATATTTAATTCATTCCCCTTATTAACTAAATAGAAATACAATACAATACATGTTCTATTTACCTACCAAAAATTTATTCACCTGTAAGCTTATTACTAGCCCAAATACAGCTTTATATTTTTTACTTTATTCATCTACTGAGTAATGATTTAAACAAGACAGTTTTTTTTTTCTTTAAAAAAATTCACGTATTAACTTAACAGAACAAAACACCTATTAACTAATTAGTTAAAGATGAGCATCAATTTACAAACAAAACACTTGTTCATAGAAAAAACAGTCAGATGTAGAAATTTAGGAATGCATAAACATACATATATGAGGTAACTTTACATATAATCTTAAGAGAAAAAGAAACAAACACAGAAACTTGTGTACAAACAACCCTTTCCTAAATCCTTCACAATTCTCCCAACATTCTAGCTACATGTACAAACCAGACATTAAAATAATAGTTCTCCCATGCAAGTCACTTAACCTAATAATTCAGTCTTGCATGTTTTTAAGATTTTCGGGTTTTTCAGTTAGTCTATTTTTATCTCCTGTTACCTACTTATGCATCAGATTGGAACCCGTTATATAACTTTTGTAGAGGACCATCTGACTGTACACAAGTTATACTAAATAATATTATTCTGGCACTATTATTTACCTTTTAACTACTAATTAAACATTAGAGGAAACAAGCTTTATGATTTAAGCATCATTGAAGAGTTTTGGTAAATAAAACATGGTAAAAGAATTATTATCTTTAAAGTAATACTGGAGAAAATTTGTTGCAAAAAAACATCTGGTATTCAAAGAACAATTATATTCAAAGAACAAATATATACTGGAATTATAATATTGATCAAAAAATTTTTAAAATAGATTCAGTATTTTATATAACCGTATACTGGGATTTTCCCAACTGTTTTCTTCATGTACTATCATGCATTAACAATTTATTATCATTATTATTATTATCATTATTATTATTATTTCTAAAAGCTAAACACACGTTAACATCTAGACTAAATAATTTCTAGGACTGTTAAATAGTCTAATTTGATTCATGTTTAATGAAAATCATACAAATAAATAAACAAAGAATGTACATAATTAAGTGAAATTAGGAAAATCTCCACTTTTTCACAATGAAAAAAAAAACACATTTCTTTTATTGTTTTCATTAATGAATAATACAAATTATGATATGTATATGTAGAAAGTACTTAATTTACAAGTAACCTCCTGAAAAATTGTACATCGAAAATACAAATCAATTCACACTTTTCAGTTCTAAGTTATTGTACATTATATATGAAAACATTTATATAATGTATTCATAAAGGCCATTTTCTTGCTAAATTTAATTACAGATTTCTCCAGCTTAAAATCATGGGTGAAAATTCAAAATGTCAGAAAAAATGAAAATGCTGAAATTTCGCATAATTTTACTGGTAATTGGTTTTATATAGAAAAAACTTCTGACAAATGCCTCAAATATTTGTAACCATGTGCTCTTACTATGAAAACTGTCTTTTTATAATGTTTAAGGACTGTGCTAAATTGAGCTGTTGTTATTAGTTCAGGACCTAGTCGATACTGTATAAATGTGTTCGCTGGCCTTGTTCCATACATAGTCAAGTAACTGTCTGCCAATTGCTTTTCGAACAGTCAATTGTCCATCAGCCATTTTACACACTTATGGCCCTTTGCCTGAATGGTACAGACCTCATTACAACATTTTGCAAATGAAAGGAAACTTACTTTTCCGGACTTAAAGTCACATGTTTAGCCCAGATTATTTTATTCATGTTAACAAACAATAATCAGAAAAATTAAACAGCAGCAGTCCATCTTTTTAACATAATACATTTTGTAATGTGTACATATGAACATTTGCATAAAACATACTCAAAACTATTCATTTAACTAATATTAAACACTGATAAAGTTGGTGGTTCACACTCAATTTTTTAGATAATCATTAACAATACAATTGACTTCATTGAACGATACAGATCAGAGAGAGAGGTACCTCTTGAATTTCCGATTACACAAATTGTATGTGACAGAAAAGAAAACAATACTGCATTTATACATGTAATAAACAAAAATGGAATGATTTTCAATAACAAAAAGATGGTTTACACGAGCAACACTGAACAAAGCTGTTCTTTCAAAAGAACATTTCAGTTAACAAAATGTCTCTCGCTGAACCCTTCAAACAAAATGACAGTTAAATAATGGAATAAAGTAAAGTGGAAATAAGACGAGGATAGAATAGGGAAATGCTTCAAGGAAGACATCGGGAAAATAATCGGGGCATGATGAATATATACTTATATAATGTTAAGATTATTTTACACGTTTTGTCTTCCATTATGGAATATACCAAGAGCGAACAGTGCAGACCATTTAGTTTTTACCCACATTTTACCGAATTTCACACCTTGACAATTTATCTGGGTGGGCTCAAACCTGTTTCTTAAAGTTTAAAGAAATCATAACTAGTTTAGTCAAGTTGCATCATTAACAATTATGTTGCCATGATACAAAACGTAACTTTTTCATAATGTAGAGAAACAAAGTTGTTTGTAGCAAAATATATTTATTTAAGGTCCTAACTATTTTTATACCTAGAGAAACAAGTTCAAAACGCTATGTTGTTTTTTGGGGGGTTTTTTGGACAGTCTGTAAACAGTAAAATATTTGTCAAGATCTCAATTATAATCATACCCCAATTCTTATTTAGACAGAACAAAAATTCGAAATTTCTGACAAACCAGATGGTGCATGCAAAAAAAAAAAAATCTTCTCTATACCAACATAAAATTGCAGACAAATATTTGGTTAGGCATCATTTTCTATTGATTTCCTATTTATATATATTCATATGTAAGAAATCAGTGAGACGTTTTACCAAAGCTTTCTTCAGGAATGAGCATTTGAACATGAAATTCATGAGAATTTTGCAGTTTCTGTCATTTTTTACAGTATTTAATTGTATATACTTTACCAGTGAAAGCTGTACACCCTTTCTGTTATTAGTTAACTTCATCACACAAAACTGTTCAATTCTTATACAGATTAAAAATATTCATTTTTCAGACATTGGATTTAAATATGACTCATATAAGTATCAAATCCTGAAGATAATCAGCTACCTAACAAATGAAAGGAAAATAATCGTGATATCCCATTGTCAAATCCTTCATAAATAGTGTACATTATGTCACAAAACTTTCAATATTTTAATGTTAGTAAATATGATATACAAAGTTCATGATTATTGGCACACTTGTTTTTTTTTATATTTCCAAGTTTATAATACAACAATTGTTTTGTCTGTTTGTTTCTGTCAATACCAGAATCTGTGGAATCTGAGCACACCAAACAAATTGTTCTTGGTGAACGGCATTTTTTTTATTTTAACAATACATTAACTATACATGTTCTGCTGAACTCCAAACAGAAACACATTCTAGGTGCTCCAATTTGAATACAATTTCCTTTAAATATAAATAAAATACAAACTTTTTCCTGCTACTTTAAGTTTTCTGTTACTTGGCACATCGCTTTTTTTTCATTTTTTTTGTCTAAACAAAACTCCTCTTGGAATATATATTTATATATATTTGAACAGATTATATATAAAGTGACAGCCCACTAACTGTGGGATATATAAGCAAGGAAAGTTAACCTTGCATTGAAAGGCAAGGGAACTAACTCCACTTGTTAAATTTGGATAAAGCTGGTTCCCAATCTCCTGTGATGGCTGTGCAGCCGGCTACCAGCTCAAATTTGGTATGAAGATATATTTACACTTTTATGGAATGGACAGGTATAATGGTTGACGATATTAACTTCATATATTACTACACCGGTCTGAAATAAAACAAACAGAACATTTTGTTACATATTATATATGAATAACAGGAAAAAGGGGCGTCCGTGGCCGAGTGGTTAAGGTCGCTGACTTCAAACCACTTGCTCCTCACCGCTGTGGGTTCGAATCCTGACAGGGACTTTGGATTCTTTCATGTGAGGAAGCTATCCAGCTAGCTTACGGAACGTCGGTGGTTCTACTCAGGTTCCCGTTCGTGCCTGAAATAATGCACGGAAGGGCACCTGAGGTCTTCCTCCACCAGTAAAACTGGAACGTCGCGATATGACCTATACTGTGTCGATGTGACGTAAAACCCAAAACAAACAAACAAACATAGGAAAATTAATTTTTTGAACATAATTATGTCTTTATAAATGTGTTTGTTTGTTTGATTGGATTTTTACGTCACACTGACACAGTAGAGGTCATATGACAACGTTCTAGCTTTACTGGTGGAGGAAGACCTCGGGTGCCCCTCTGTTCATTATTTCAGGCACGATCGGGCACCTGAGTAGAACCACAGACATTCCGTAAGCTAGCTGGTGAAAGAATCCAAAGTCCCTGTTGGGATTCAAACCGACAGCGGTGATGGGCAAGTGCTTTGAAGTCAACGACCTTAACCACTTGGCTTACGGACGCCCCTTATTATTGTGTAATGAGCACAACTTTTTAAGATCCAGATCAAGAGCATTGAATAAAACAAACTAATATCAATCAACAACAATAAAAATATTTATATATACAGATATGGCAACAAAAAATTGTTACAGTATATCATTTAAATTGATTGTAAATCATAAGTTTGCCCTGGATTAGATAATAAATAAAGGACAATTTGAACGAAACAGATAAATTAATTAAGTTCTGACAAGATTTAATTCAAAACACTGAAAATTGATTTCAAGACAGACCTCAGGTGCTGCTTAAGTTCTTTTTAAAGCACAGGCATCAAAGTAGAACAACAGACCTATACTTAGTTCGACAACTTCCCCATATGAACATTTTCATGTTTTCAAAACAATAACTGTGATGGGTAAATGATTCCAAGTCAAAGACCTTAAATCCTTTATATGTTGAACCCTGGTTTCATCTGGAGTAAAATTTAAATATAGATGGATAGATAATCATAAAATGGCCTCTGTGACTCACTCACCTCTTAACTTTATCTACTGCACGCCTTACGTCAGTGTCCGATAACGTAAGACTACCGAGTTTACTCAGTATGCCTGTGACCAACTCGTCTGCAATACCAGGACATGACCTCTCAGCAAGGTCAAACGCGTTCTTCAATTCTTCAGCAGCTTCGGTTCTCTGTACTGGACGACCATTACGTCTGTAATCTTCCCTATATTCATCCTTCAACTATATAATATCATCATTTATTATATACATTGTACTTATAAATGAAATATTGATGAAATAAAAGGCATATTTTCATTTTTGATATTTTCACTAAGAAAAATTTAATTATATGCAGTACAACGGTATATTCACTGAGGGGAAGTCTTTCAAATTGTCATGTCAAAATATATAACAGAAAATTAAAATTTTTCGTTTAAATACAGGATTTATTTTCATCTTGTGGTATGAAAAGGATTTATTTTCATCTTGTGGTATGAAAATTATCATACTTCACCCATCACTCATGAAATATCTTTTTGCATACCACTCCATAAAAATAAACTCAGTTTATAGAAAAAAAACTTAAATATCCACTATGTACTTCCAACAAATTGATTTAAAAACTTGTGGTCCATCAACTTCACTAGTATTTAATTTCCTGATAAAATCAGTTGTAATATTACAGCATTTTCTTCAGCAGTAACTTGATACAGGTTAGGTAAATATGATACTCGCCTATAAAATACTGCTTAGTCACAAAATAAATAATTTCATCTTAACAATAAGGATATAAGTCATATTAACATTAACAAGTTAGCTAGAATAGCTTCTTTTTTTTGTGTTGCATTTTCTTTTTAGGTCAAACCAACACTTTAAATTCATATAACGTCTTTCTAGCTTCACTGGAAGAACTTGGGTGCCTGTTACTGCATTATTTAAGGCATAGGCAAACACCTGAGTGGAACCACTGACCTTTAAGCTAGCTTCCTCAAATGAAAGTCAGGATTCGAACCCACAGCGGTGAGGGGCAGGGCAAGTGGTTTGAAGTCAACGACCTTAACCACCCAGTCACAGATGCCCTAAAGAACCCAACTGTTGGATATTATTCTCACATATATCATAATGGTGGTGTTGGTAGTTTTCACTCCAGATCGTGGCAGTAAGCCACAATGAATTTACCAGAGCATTTCAGCCACCGCATCGTTCCTTGGCAGGCTGTCAAGCAGTTTACCATTACTAGTGCAGCCTTCACTTTTGCAAGGAATTGAAACTTCTGTACATGCCAGAGCCAATGACCGTAGAAAAGGTTTTGTGATCAATCACAACAAATTTAAGTGACATGTACTGTCCAGGAATTGAACTTGGGTTGCCCGATTCATAAACCAAACTAACCAGACGGTTACATATCATAATGTCAATTGTCCTTATGTGAACAATTTGAAAAGTGATTATATTATCTGCTATTATCAATGAACAAACAGAGAAAAGATTACCTGTACAAGTAAAGGTAGAATGGCAGTTGTAAGGCTGACTGATAACTGAGGCAGGTCTCCCACAGAGCCGGGCCTTGCTGGCTTAGGCTGTACTGGTGGCTGTTGAAAATATAAAACAAACAATGCTTGAAACTCTTTGTTATACATATAAACTGTTGAAAATATAAAATAAACAATACACAAGCTCTTTGTTACACAAATAAATATATATAATACCTAAATACTCCATACTTAATAGTAATGGTAATGATTGTAATGAAATATTGGTAATGATTATGAAGAATTACGATTCAGTGTGTATAATTACAAAAATACCTTTAAATATTAACAGTAATTTTACTTTTCTTAAATTTCCACACTAATCAAATGCTATTTATAAATTCTGAAAGATGATTTTTTTTTTTTTTTTACAAAAACAAGAAAAGAAATTAATGGTGAAAAAACCTGAAAACAATTCAATTATTTATGGTAACACAGAGGTCTATTAAATTACTATAATATTACTGTTGATGAAAGTAAACAAGAATTTTTTGTCTGTATCTAGAATAAATTTTTTAAATGTCATATAAACTAAATCAATACTAAACATATCATCACCGTAGTGCAGTAATGGGTTAAGTCCTTCTAAATTTAAAAGAAGTTAACCAGTTATTGCACTAAAGTGACAATTATAACCAAATAGTCTTGTATACAAATTCAATAATGTACTTCATGATTATTCTAAACTTCCTTCACCTAGCAGTTATTACATTTCAGTGAAAGGAAACTGTTTAGAACTTTTTAACTGTTACTAAACTAGTTAAATGAGCATAAATAATATATCTCCTGAAAATATTGTTTACAAGTAAAGGTATAGAAAGGCATAATTGGCCTTTAATATATCACAATATTCTCTTTCTTAATTCATAAATTAAATCTTTTTATATCTAAAACATGAAAAATAGAGATGTCACATTTTACTAGCTCAAGGATTTTTTTTTTCATTTGGCTAAAAAAAAAATCATTATCTCTTTTTGGATCATGACACGGCCTTGAAGGCAATCATGTTCCGATATATGACCCCTTAAATATTAACAGTGATTGTATCTTAAATCTTTTCAGAGTTTGTGTTTAGAGATCAAATGATTTGAAAAAAATACACAACTTTTTTTAAAAATTTGATAAAAAAACATTAAAGTCACATTTTTTAAGATTTAATAGAAAACAGTATTTTCACACTAACTATAAAATACAAATCTGTGTTATATATTTTGGTACTATATAAATAGCTACACTGAAAGTTAAAATATATTTTATTTTAAAGCTATTAAATTATGTAGAAAACACGGGTATTTCTTAAAACATATTAAACTTTACAATAATATGAAGGAAAATAAACTTAGAAAAAAAACACACACAAAAAACATAGAAAATCTTGAATGAAAATTAAAAAAAAAAAACTTCATTCAAGCTAAATATATATCACGAATCTTCAAAAAAAACACCCCAAAAAAAACCAACCTTTTTAAATATTTTACATACCACCAACCTAGACTATAACACAACAGTCTATTGTAACCGCAGCCTCCCAAAACCCCTAGAAAGAGGAATTTGACACACTTTTGGATTACCAAAGCCTCAGAAAATTCCAATTACATAATAATATTAAATCCCCTGCAAAATCTTACAATATTCCCCTCAATTTATGGTACCATTTGACTGATCATGCAAAGTATGGACTGATATAAGTTTTAAACTCAACTCGATACTCACCAGGGGTTTGGGCGGGGCTACAATTGACTGGTGCATAATGAACACCATGTAAAGCTTATTTTTACCTGCTGACATTTATATATACTATATATATATATATATACATAATATATTACCAATAAAGAACATCTATTACCTCCCTTTATCTACCATCAATATAACAGTTATCTTCACATTGTACCAAGTAATATGAATTAATAATTTAAGACGAAAAAAAATTTACCGCAGTAAAGCCATTTACCTTAAAAGCCAATTCAAACAAAATCTTACAGGCTAAACCCGATTCAGTTTTTTCACAGCATTTAAGTGTTAAAATTATGAATAAAAACTGAACACATTTTTTGTATGATAAAAATAAATGAATTTGACGATCATGAAAATAATATGATGGCTAAAGAAATATGATTATACCTGAAATATACCGTAATTGCCATTGTTTACAGTCACTTTTTACTTTTCTTTCTTTTTTTTCTTTTTAAACACTTGTTACATTTTTCTCTTAAGATGATTAAATATATACAGCCATGCAAATACATGAGTTACAAATATGTAATTAGGAACTCTCTCGACAGTACAAAGTTATACATTGTGAAAAGCTGTAGAAAATTTTGCCAGGACTATATATATACATTATAACATAATTACATGCCAGCATTCATAATATCATTTACAACTAAACCTTCACATAGCAAAATGCAAATTATATGTATATCATAATATACCCCAGTAACACAATAAGCAAATCTATTCTGTCTGTACGGAGGCACACTGCTATGGTGGCGTGGCCAAGTGGTTAACGTGTCAGAATAGTAATCTAAGGATTGCTAACCACATGGGTATCAAATCATGTCAGGGGTAAGCTGTTGTTTCCTCAAACAAAAAACTTAGCAATCATTGCTTAGTACTGGTTGGTTTCAGAAATGGATTTGAGTGTTTCAATAAGCTTATAGCTGCCAGAATCAAACTAAAATAAATTTGGATAAACTAAACCGAATGTTCCCTACTCAATTTTGATACTTAAACCCCTTGTATGGAAAGTCCTTTATACAAATTCAAAAAAATTAGGGTTAGTTGACCAGAATTTGAAAATTCTTTTTGACAAAAAGTATTAATATTTGGAAGAATATTCTTAAAAATAAATAAGAATGTAAATTTTTAAAACAATTTTTGTAAGAAAACAGCTTGTCTGTCTATTTAGTCTTTTTACCTCTTAAAACTTACAAGCCTGTCGGTAGCAACTGAATAAATATACCCATGTGACTAGTGCAGACCAAGATTAGCTGGCAGTCATTTGTGCCGTCTGATGATGGTCTGTACAGTAGACTATCCAGTTGGTACATTTTTTTTTTCTCTAAATGTTTCCTAAAAATAACGGAATGCTTTTGTCCATACTGAAAGACAGACAAGTCCATTTGTGGTTAAGAGTTTAAGTGTTCTGGGGTATATAATAATGGTTTAAATAAGAACATAATGATGACGCAATAATGCCTCGATCTTTGCTTCTCCTCTCCTCCAAGACATGCCAGTTTCGATGGTACAACATGCTTCATGCCTATTACATCATGCAGTTACAATGATAAAGATACGATACGAGATTTTTGGTAATATAGTTTTAATAAGTTACAGAGTGCTTGTATTCCGGACAGGCTCAAACTTACTTGACCAGTTACGTATCTGTGTGGGGAACCTTCATGCCTGTTACGCATGAGGTATGACTGACTGGAGACAGCGGCGGCCGCAGCAGGAGACGAGTGATGGTTAGGTATATCGTACTGGGACTTGGGTCTCGAATACTGCTAGAGAAAAACACACACAACGATAGTAGAGTAAACACACACACACACTTACAGACACACACAACGCTCACAAATCGTCTCTCATAGCCTCAACATTAAAATTTACAAGACAGGAGGAGGTATATTATATATTGAGAGAGTAAAAAGTAGAACAATTAAGACAATAACATGAATACATTCAGAAAGTTTGTTGGATATAAATAGCATTTTAGCATTTCATCACCTCATTCCTGTTTAGCATTTTTATTTACCTCAACCCCTTATTTTTATTTCCTATTCAAATGATCACTACTTTAAATAGAGGATGACATATCAAGAATAAAATTTCAACCTTATCCATTGATTACATATAGCTTTGAATATGGTACAGTATGAAATAAAGATGCAACATCATTATAAATGATTAATCATTTAATAATTTTAAGTCCATGTTATTACTTTACATATTATGACTGTAGTGTAGGATGATTTTTGATTTGATAATTTACAAAGCCTAGGTAATTTGCTAATGCTCCAATGCAATGGTTGATATTACTCAATCAATTAAGAAGTATATAATGTAAATGCCAATACACCTCCCTGCTCCCCCCATCTGTTACAATATTATTGTAGACTGCTATAAACAGCCTGTTTAAATATCATAACATTTAGTACAGATAATAGTTATTATTATATGATCTAAATATAGCTGCAATCTCATTGGTCCAAACAGTAGTCAACAGAACTTTTTATAAAATCATATTCACTGGGCGTAGTATCATATTCACTGGCTGAATTGGATTTTCCCAGTCTAAAAATAGATTGAGACTCATATTCAATGATCATACACCGTAGACTGTTTATTACGCGTGTTAATTAAAAATAATTGTTGCTTTTTGTTCTTTATGGCATATTTCTCGATTAAAATATCATTACTTTACTATTATACTTAAAGGCTACACCGCAATGATGAGTATAAACTTGCATTATTTTGTATGCGCAGCGTTCGCGTAGTCGTTGCACGCCTAACACGTGCGTCTTTTTTCTCGCGCTTTGAACACGAGGCAAAATTTGTACATGTATATAAGGTTGAACGTTTTGTGTTTTTTTTTTATTTCTTATAGCCTATTCATATAATAAAACAATTATTGACTAGTGAGCCATTGAATATGATGTGATATTCACCGGCAGAAAGTCATATTGACCTCGGCTATCGCCTCGGTCAATATGTTATCTGCCGGTGAATATCACATCATATTCAATGGCTCACTAGTCAATAATTGTATAATAATACCTATCAAATTTATTAACACAATATAACTGCAGCAGCTGTTACAATCTACGTTTGTGGGCACATTATAAAATACCTATATAATACAAAATAATACTGTTTTTAAGTCAATGATACATCTAAAGATGTATGTAAAACACACGCAAAAATAATGTTAAGTAATATAGTATTATGTGAATAAAGAATATAAGACCATGGGTAACATCAAAAAATGCTCAAAAGGCTTATTATATAATTATGAATATTCATTTTAAAAAACATACAGTAACTTTCATTGAAAATAATGTCATGTAATTTTTTCGTGAAAGAAATACAAATTTATAAGTTAACTATTAACAGATATAATTTGTATACATGTTTGTTATATAATAATGTAATCACTGTTAGATATGAGTATACTTATATATGAAGATATATATTTATACATTAATGATATAGTTACATATGTGTGAGTTGGTTAATTGGTGATTTTATATGTATATATGTTACAAAATAATTGACATTTTAACTTTTCGCCTGCTGGCATCGACTGAATTTACCTATGCGACCAATGCAGACCAAGTTTTACCTGGCACATCTGCTGTGCCATCTGAACATGGTCTGCACTTTTCGTTATTCAGTCAGAGCATATTTGACTAAATATAATTATGGGACCAGTGCAGACCAATTATTAACCAGACTACATCTGTGTAGTTTGAACCAGGTCTGCACTTTTCGCTTAATTCAATCAGAGCATATTTTGACTGAATTTACCCATGTGAATTTACCCATGTGACTAAGAGCAGACCAAATATCACCTGGCACATCTGTGAGGTCTGAAAATGGTCTGCACTTTTTGCTATTCAGTCATTGCACATTTTGAAATTTTTCTCCAAAAACCAGATGAATGATTTTGTCCTGATTGAAAGATGAGCACGACCATTTTAAAGAAATCTTGTGTTGGCAAGGGATGATGGTTTGGCTCTTAGAGAGCCACAAGTTTATAAAGGAGGGTATTTGAATTAATCATAAATATCTAAACAGCAGACACTGTGTAACGATGAACTGATCATTGATCTCTTCAGTTCTGTTCTCATGAACTAACAAATAACAAACATGGACTATGAAACCAAGATTGACATAAATTGGCAAAAACGATATCTAACTGACAAATCGATATCAAACATGGACTTACAAACTAAACAATAAATAGTTCTGTTCTGAGTTCTGTTATAATTTAAACTAACAAATAACAAACATTATAGGACAAACAGATGAGTATTACTATAAATTTTGTTCAAGTGAATGTAAAGTGTTTAAACAATAATCATATAACTTATTTAAAGAAACAAAATTTTGTTTGATAATAATATTTTTCACACAAAAGAACAATTAAAAATAATAATATAATGTCAATTTTTTTCTGCTGAAATTTTAATTTTAAAACATAACTACAAGCTTCAATTAATTCTGCACTAAACACATTAACCAGAAACCTTATATATATATTATATAATATACTACCCTGTACCTTCAAATGTAAACAATATAGTTCAAAGTTTGTTGTTTAAATTTGTATGAATGAATTCTGATCTTAAAATATCAAAATGAAATATATATACTTTAAGACGGCTCATTCAGTCCTTTACTTATATCAAGATAGATAAAATCAATACATGTGGGCTGCCTCACTCAAAATAATAAAAATTCTTTAATCAATGACCCATTATCAAAAACAGTGCTGTGCACCCCTCATACCATGAACAGATTGACTGTTACCAGAACATAACTTCTAACCAAACACAAAAAGCAGTATTTACATAGCTTAAGCCTTTTTTCTCCAAAAAAATATATCAGAAATCAGGTATAAATGTGCCTTCAACCTTCTTTATCTATCACTTCAACCCCCATAACTCAATAGTGATCAATTTACCAATAGACACAGTTATCATATATACATGTACATTATGATAATGATATAGAAGTTGAATTATGATGAAATGACAGAAATTCTTATCATGATCACCATCATGTCTCAAAAATTACACTTCTCCAACCAGAAGAAATATCTGACACCAGAAACGAAAAAAAATAGCATTTAATTAACTAACCAAATCTTAGTATTGATAGTGGAGGAAAAAGTAACAAAAACTTTATTCAATGGCAAAACTTAGTGTAGATTAAGAACCAATAATTTACTCCCTTCAACCATTGAACAGAAAAACTTAATTATAATAAATCTAACTGTTGTGTTTTTTTAGAGGAATTTAAATTTTATTCAGAATTCCAGTGTTTTGTTTCCCTTTTTTTCTTCTTATAGTTAGAAATTAATCCTTATTAACAAATGTCTAGTAAATGAAAACTGTAAAAGAATAATTGCCTTTATTCAATTTATGTATATAAATTTTAGTAATTTATTGTAGCATTTTAAATATGTCTTTTCCAATCCAAAATGCGAGGAAAAGTGGCTAATATTAGAAGCGCAAATGTGAATAAATTGATTTTTTTTTTCAATTTTCTTTCAGTTTCTTCTAAGTTTATCACAGTAACAGGCATTTATACTAATCTGAATATCACTAAATATTTTTGAATTCAAACAAAAATCAAGTTTCCAAGAGGTGTAAAGGTTTTATGAATGGTACTGTATATTGTTAAAAACACTGGAAAACTGAACACAAAACAAGAGTACCATGGTGGCACATTTATCGCTCACCTATAACAACTTTATATCTCGTGCTTTATAGAGTGAAAATGTAAATTTATGATAAAGATAATATTAAGATTTCCCTCTGACAAAGTATTAAACCAAAAACATCTACTAACTTAATTAAGAAGTCTTTAATAGGGTTAACCATGTTTTCAATTGATCTGACCTGGTGGCCTATTTTTTCAACCAAGATGACCCATGTTATAACTCATCCAAGATTTCATTGAGACATTCAAAGCTAGTTTGATAAAAGATTTTGATGAATATTCTGAGCAATTTTGATGAAGATCCTACCATAAATGTACCACCAAAGGTACCACACAGGACTGCAGATAATTGACTGATTGATCCTAATTGCTCACCTAAGAGCACCATGTACTCAGGTGAGCTAAAAAAAAATTATTCAATATCTTATTGCAGAAGCGCTAAACAGTAAGAGAGTATATATAAGATATCATAATGTCGTTAACACAAGTTGATCCAGCTCACATGCATACATAGAAATGATTCTGTTCTGTTGTTCATGCAAATATATATACACAAGTATAACCAAACTTACTGGGACGTTTTCAAAATTAGGATTGATATATACGGCATTGGTCGGCTGACTCGTCCGGTTAAAGGACGGTTTTGGCGAGACGACCGGACCGCGTGATATATCAGACCTACTCCTCGAGTGAATCACATGCCCTGACCTCTGTAAACGTACAGAAATATGTTATATGTATCAAAATTCTCATGCTAATTTCTTTTGTCCATTCACATTTTTTTTTCTTCTGAATATGAATATAAAGCTTTAACTGAATATCTGAAAATAAGTGGATACAGATTTCATAACAATATCACTTCACTAAGTTGTCAAAAGAAAAAAAATTGTAATTTCAGGAAGAAAAAATTTTTCAGTACAGTATTGTAGACTGCGAAAAGGATTTAAATACATATTTGACGGGCATTTCTTATGTTGGCTAATGACAATGTGAGTGGTCAATGTGTATCACAAGATGCCGAAACATTTTGCTGGGCCAACGGAAATGCAAGGATGAACTTTTAAGGTGCCAGGCAAAATATAAATGATGTATGGAAACAAAATAAAAGCCAAAAACCTTATTTAAAGAGTTTATGAATTTGGACAATTGCAAAGTACTGACCACTCTATTGCCACAAAGGTATTTAAAACTAAATTAACATTTTTGACTCAGTTTCGAAAGTGAAAAAAAGAAAGAAAGAAATTTTCCGAAATATTTTGAGATATTCAGTTTCGAAGCCGTAGAGAAGCCTTGATGTATAATTATGACATTATAAATAACATTCTAAATTGATCAAAAGATATCATCTTTGTTGACCAAGCACATTCAATAGATACTAACAATAAAGATCCATGTACATTTAAAATAATTATACTGGCCACTATTATAATAATACTGAGCATAACACAGTGAAAGTTAAGAAAACAGGACGCTCTGTGAAAATCGGACAAAAGCCTCAATCCGACCGTTGTCTAGTTTTCTCAGGTTGCACTGTATTCTATAGTACCTTGCATGCTAATTTTGTAAATCAAGTTACATTAACACAAAACTTATTTTCTAGTATTACTATGACCTATTACGCTTATCAATATATCAATACTATAAAATTCAATAATGTTTTCTGTATTATTTCAGCATGGTGAATAGTACATTCGGTTAAAAATATTGTCGGTCTTCCGTTCAGAATCATGAATTATTGTGTCTAGGTATTGAAGAGTTTTTTTAAATTTGTTTGGTTTGAAAAGTAACTTTGAACTTTTTTAAGACATGGAGTCCAAAAATTGATAACAGCTACAAGTCAAGCACTTGTTAATGATTTTAAAGCAATATTCACTTGTAATAGTTTGGCAAAAGAAGCTAGCAATACTTTCAACAATAGCCAGCAATTTCAATGTGCTCTGGTTTTCAAGCCACACTGACATAGTCATATGGTGATTTTCCTAGATTTACTTAGTGAATATAAACCTACTAACTTTTAACATTATATAACTGAGCCGCACCATGACAAAACCAACATAATGCGTTTGCGACCAGGATGGATCCAGACCAGCCTGCGCAGTCTGGTCAGGATCCATGCTGTTCGCTTACAAACTCTATAACAAGTAGAGAAACTGATAACAAACAGCATGGATCGATGCTGGTCGCAAACGCATTATGTTGATTTTGTCACCGCATGGCTCAATTTTCTACCAAATCAAGATGTCTAAAAATAACCAATAACTTTAACTAAATAAGTAAAAGAAAACTTGTCTCATTGTTACAAAAGAAAGTTAAGCGTGCTGTTCTAAACAATAGTAACACCTTACAGTAACTGACTACATGTGATCTAAATAATTCTGCTTTCAAAACATCAATGTACAACTTGAAACAATAAAAAAACTTGGTATCAGTAAAACTCTTTGAATATGTTAGTAAAAAGCATAAATGCCCCATGAATGGTGTACAAATACAGGTTTTAAGTGAATTTCTGTTTCTATAAGCAAATAAGAACCAATCAGCAAAAGCATTTGATTATGTATTACATATTTATGTTTTTACAGAAGTGCAATAATCTATTTATACAGATACCTGTGAAAACTTGCAAAAGCATTTTGTCATCTTAGTGCAGTAATAGGTTAACTCCTTATATAATTTAATAGGAGTTAACCTAGTACTGCACTAAGATGATGATTTGGTCATATAATATAGTCATATACATGTATATACATGCATATATATAATTCTTTTCTGTTCTTGAAACTTTCTTAAGCATTTGGTAATATAAAACATATCCTTAAAGAAGATCGATGGTGTATTTTCACAAGTATCTGTCAAAATAATGCAAACTATTTTGGTTATATAATTATGTATATATTTCTTTTCTTATAGCAGTGTAATAAGGTAGATGTGAAAATTTTAAACAATATATTTTGATTATATTGCACTAATTCACACTTATATCATATACTTTTCATAATTCTTTTCTTAAACTATTATGATATTCGACGGTTGACCGCAAAACTGCAGTAACTTCTGTAAGATAAAGAAGGACATACAACAGTTTTGCAGTCAATACTCGATATACATAGTTGAGAAAGAAGTTTTTTTACAGTCAAGGTTATGCAAGCAGAGGTAACATGTTGTAGTAATCTCATCATCAATCAGACTTGGAACTATTTACATTTCAAGGTGTTCAATTGTCACTTTGGTGCAGTAACGGGTTAACTCCTTAAATAATTTAATAGGAGATAAGCTGTTATTGCACTAAAGTGAAATAATGCTTTTTATTCAAGAATCTCTAATTACTTCAAACACATGTCACTACTTATTTTACCATGTTAAAGTGAGGGACACAATCAATACCTTGAAAAGAATGACATATAGCTGGGGAAAAATGCAATTTTATGAACATTTTAAAATCCTGTAAAAGATGCATTTTTTAAAAATCCCAAGGGAGAAAATGCAAGAGTTATGGTTCTGTATTTATATAACGTCAGAGTGATTGGCCTTAACAATTTGGTAAGATACTAAATGGTACTTATTTCAGATGAAACTGTAGAATTTCCTTTGCATTATTTCAATGAGATATGAAAACTTATAACTGACATGACAAAAAGTTTATTATAATTTCTTACAAAACTATTGTTGATAAATACAAATATGTACATGTAGCTATTTCAAGCAGAATTCCACTAAAAATTTGATATGACAGTAATATGACGGTTCAATGTCAGTTTAAATGAATGTAGAATTCAATTCAACTGGTGAAAAAGTATCTCAAATTCAGTAAATTACAGGACTAAAATTACAGGACTAAATTAACAAAAGAGTGATCTACACTACCAAATATCTTCTAGCCAATGAGCTCTCTTGATTAACATAAAGTATGATTATTATAAGCTGCAAGTAACTATGCACAAGTGATGTGTTTCCCAATTTCCGTACATTTTAGGAAGCTCTGATTTCGAACTGAAGCTATGTTGCAGTTAAAATATTTTGATGGATAAGCAACGGTATCTAGCTTGCATTATATAAAGGTTAAAATGGGAGGAGCATAGCAGTACAACCTGTTTAAAACAGCCAATCAAATTAAAAATAACATGTGATCTATTTCACTTATTAAACCTAATTCTGGGAATGCCAAAGACAATAATGGACTTGCATTGGATGACAGTTGTATAAAAGTCAGGTTAGCCTACAGTTCCCGGATTGAAGTCCCTTAGGGATTACCATTTTTACGGACCCTAATGAATCATTTAACATTGGCTTATGCCAGATAGTATCGTGATAACTGCGAGACTACTCACTTTCTTTCAGCAGTTTTCTGATGCCTATTTTTTGTATATTTTTGTCATGTAAGAGGGTGTTTTCAACTGCGACGTCATAATTTGATAAGATTTCCAAATGTTGTCTTGAATGAAGGTAACCCTTAAATACAAGATGGACTATTTCGTGTTCCCAATTAACAGCAGAGTTTATCATTTAAATTAAGGACATTATTCTTACAATATCATAATTCAAATATATGATTTTGGCTGTTTATGACAGGTTGGTTACTAAACAGAAGTGATAGCTGTCTGCATGTGTGGTTATATAAATAGTCTCTAAATGACATTGCAATGTACATTTGCATAAGTTGTGCCTTTGTATAAGAACTGTCAGCATTATTTTTTGAGTGAATAAAAAAAATCCACAAATTACAATTTATAATATGATTTCAACATTAAATCATTTTCTACATTACACATAAAAATTTTGGCATATTTTTATTCCCTCAGAAAAAAAACCCTCCACTGGCAAGAAGGAAGAATTCCCCTGTCAATAAGTACAAGTTTTGTTGTTGTTTGTTTTTCCTTGCATCTATTCTTATATTGCTTTACTACTAGAATTACTTAATACAAACAGTTCAATCTTCTTCTTTTTTTGTATTTATTCATTTGAAAATAAAAAAATTTGTACAGAATGTTACAAAATAACCAGTTGCATTCCTTAAAAGCAGTACACCCCGAGATTTTGTGCAGTTGAACACTTAAAGCTGACAGTTCTTTACAGCTTACTACAGGTGTTTATAAACTTTTACAATTTCAGTTTGTCATTGGAAATTCATTATAGTGAATAACTATAACTAAAAAGCACTTTAAAATTTACAAAGCATTTCTATATAAGGACAGAAAAAAAAATATTGCAAAATCTAGAACAGAAAATCTGTTGTTCTTCTTTTTTTCTCTCTTTAAAATGACTCTGACTAAACTCATTAAAATTTAAATAAATTGCTAATTTCCTGTACGTAACCATTTTAAGTGCACCAACAACATTTTTTTTATATAACAATGGGGAAATAAGCTAAGCATTAGGTGAACAAAATATGTTTGAAGCAAATCTGACATACTGGATTATACATGCATGACGTAAATAATTTATATACTATAATCTAATCTATATACACCACTTGTTCAAGAAGAAAAAAAATTATTAACAAAAATTAAAAAAATAAAATAATTAATTAAATGCTTTTTAATTCTTTTGTTATCCTGTTATATCCAAACTAAATTCATTACATCTGGAAAAGAATATCATTTTATAAGCTGAAGTGTGCACTGGTACACAATACTAACCCAGTTATTGGACACCGAAATATTTGAACAGTATACAAGGAATGTGGTCCTTAAGCAGAGGAAAGGAATTCCCCTGATCCAAATGGGCACAAGTGGCAAGAAAGACTCATCATGTAACCAGTCTGGGGCCAGGCCAGCCTATATCATTAAAATTGGGCTTTAAAATTTAATACTGAAGTTTTTAAACAACCTATGGACTTATAACAATTCAGTGGCGGTGTGGCCAAATGATAACGCTTCAAACTAGTAATCTAAGGATTGCTGGACACGTAGGTTCAAACAACATCAGGGGTAAGCCGTTTGGTTCTGTGAAACTCATTGCTTAGTACTGGTTGGTTTCAGGAACTCAGATTTGAGATTTGTTTCAATAAGTTTATAGCTTCCTAAACAATCAAATAAATTAGTATAAACTAGAACATAAAAAGTCAGCAGGGTAGAAGTAAACTGCAATATTAAACAAATAGCTGACAAGAATTAATTTATTTTATGGTATAACCTTTCATTACTCTCTGATAACCTCCTTATCACAGTTATCGTAATAACTGGGCGTTTTCTACATTTCAGTTTTTATCTATGTCGCTTAAAACTTCTCAAATCGCTTTCAGCACTTCAAACTTTACGAACAGATAAGAAATCTGGCTGTCAGATTGACAACATAATCTCTATCAAAGTTTATATTTATCTGCACTTGCAAATACTCACAAGATATAGTAATATTTATCACGGGATGACATCATAACGTAGGGTCAAGTGTTTCCTGCACTCAAAAACAAAATCAAAGCAGAGGCCAAAGTATTACATATTTTCAAACCAAATTGCATATTTTCAAACATTTTTATCTGAATGTCACGCTGATAAAACCTAAAACAAGACAAGTTTTCAAAATTAAAACAAGGAAGTACTTAAGTTCATTTCACACATCAAACATAAATTTGAAGATATTACAAATATCAAAAATTCTCCCAAATGAAGGCGTAAACTCAATGACCATTCAAGCGGTGGCTTAGTGGTTAAGGTGTCTGCCTCTCAACCCAGAGATCATGGGTTTGAGCCCTACTTGGGTCACAACCATGTTTCTTCTAGTACTGGTTGGTTCCAGGAAGCAACTCGAAAGTGTTTAATATAATTTGCAAGAACTTGTTTTGCAATCGAGCTTGAAAAACCAAGGAAATAAAAAAAATTTACTCATTAATCGGCACTTATTAATGTGCTATTTCTATAAAGTAACAATGGAAAAATGTGATTGTATGCATGTTCTAGTATTTAGAATTGCTTCAAACTGATATTATACCCTACAAATTATTGCACTTATTTTAAGCATCTAAGGAATAACTAAAGCCTTAAGTTACATAATATATATACAACGGACTCTCCTGTGATGAATTTTTGTGACTTCTGGGAGATGTCTTTTTTAACACAAAATATAGATCATCTTTTAGTACTTTTCAGCTTAAACAGTAATAATGTGATTTTCATTTTTTGCTAATTTTTGTAGAATCTCACACCGGCTGCCGGGACAGACCAGAATATCAAGCTCAAGAGTAACGAGGCTCTGCTAAGTTCCTCTAAACAGTTACTATTTACAATAATATAAATCTATTTTTTATATGAATTGTGTCTTAATTTCAAAAGTCACAAAAATTCTTCAATGGAAAAAGCATCTAAAATATGTTTAGGAAACAATGTCAGATTTTTCTTGCTATCTGCAAGAGTGCTTCCCCTTGCTATCTGCAAGAGTGCTTCCTCTTCTGCAAGAGTGCTTTCCCTTAGTATCTGCAGGTGGGTGGGGTAATAAGCAAAAGCAGCTCTGGGTTAGTAGTTTTAAAAATCTGATTGCCTGCAACTTACTGGCTCTGGTCTGGAATCATTTACAGATGAAAGTGATGGTGCCGAGCCAGATCGTTCATGTATTATAGGCCCTAACTGAGGCCCAGCATGGCGTGCCGCCTTTAAAACATGCACACAAATAAAAACTCAAGATTAACAATAAACTCAAAATCTTAATAGATAATAAACTCTATAAGCTCCTTTCTTAAAATCTGCATAGAGTATGAAAAACAGAATAATAAGTTAAACATATCCAATTAGAAAAGGTCAAGGTGGAAAAACAATATATGGTTGATAGAATGTTAATTTTCATGAGTAAAGTGACCATATATATGTATGTGAAGCATCAATAAATATATCGATGTAAGGGATGATAAATGCAATGAAGGAACTATGTCCCACCCTCTATAGCAAACATCTAGTCAAATCTCACACAGTCATACACACACCATACCCTTCACATATCCAATGTTAAGAAAAATTATATCAAATATATTATTTGGGATCTCTCTACAATAAATAAACTCTAAGCATAGGCCTGATCAAATTAAATCTTCAAAAACTAGTATGCTAAACCTGTTTATTTTATTTATATAAATTTTTTTAAAGATAAGAAATAATTGCTGTTATTATATAATTTAAACAGGCCTAGAGTGTGATGAACAAAGTGACCGTGTTATAAGTCATGTATACGGGACCACTTACGGGGTTATACTGCTGTTGCGGAACTCGTGAATCGCCCTGCTGGGAGGATTGTGGGATGGTTTGCATGCTATTAGACCCAAGCCGTGACTGCTGAGAGGGCTCGGATGGCCCGTACGAGCTGATTCGTTGTCCGGACACCTGCCCTGTATGATGTTGCACCTGTGGGGCTACATGCTGTAAAAACGGGTACAATATAAACGAGGTTAGATTACATCGAAAGCATCTCACATTCACCATACATGAGGAATATAAACAACAAGCAAGTTTGTAACAAATGAGCCGTGTCATGACAAAACCAACATAATGGGTTTGCCCAGACCAGCCTGCGCATCCGCCCAGTCTGATCAGGATCCATGCTGTTCGTTATCATTTTCTTTACTTGTTATGGGGGCTGTAAGCGAACAGCATGGATCCTGATCAGACTGCGCGGATGCGCAGGCTGGTCTGGATCCATGCTGGTCGCAAACGCATTACGTTGGTTTTGTCGTGACGCGGCTCAAATGTGTATGAAAAGAAATGCCATGAAAGTTGTAAATATAACTATGATTAGACTGAAGTTATGAAGATGGTCAAAAAGGTGTTAAGGCATTTTAAATACTCAATAATTAATAAACCAAAATGTATATTATTAACAAACCATAATGTATATAACCATTAATAAAACGTAAAGTATATAACCAACAACAGTAAGTTTCTCTTGCTATTAGAATGTCTCTAGTAATTACAAAATACTAAATTATTAATTGGCAATGCATAATCTACAAACACCACAACCATTTAGATGTATTGCAAATATACTCTTAATTTAACTTTAAAATCACTTGTTCAGACCAAAATTAAAAATTCGAGCACAAATAACCCACAAGCTGCAAGCAATGACAGTGGCTTCTTTAATGGATGTAAAGTTATGTATGCTACTTCTGAATATGTAAACTTGCATGATATGCTAGCCCATCACCTGGTTGGTTAAAGCACTGTCCAATATGGTTCTTATAATTAATCAGTTTGGACAATAAAATGATATCTTCTAACAGAGCTATACTTTCCCGATGAATTTTTACACAATTTCACTTCCTTAACAAAATCATGTTTTATACATTGTATCATAAGACGTATGGTTTTAATCAATTATTCTTTTTCCCACAGACTTTCTGCACTCAAGTGACACGTCAATTCTCACAAGATTATAGTTCTCACACATACACCAACTTACAATATTATTAAGACTTTGTGATGTAGGTGCAGCAGGGGCCTGTCGTTTGTTCCCTCCTATCAGACGACTCTACAACATGCAAAATGCAAACCATCACACAGGCACAATACATATCAGTCAATAACATTATAATTATATAGGGCTGGAAAATTGTTCTTCACTTATTCATGTGAAAATTTCTTCATTTTTTGAAAGCAAGCAATAGGGCTAGAAAATTTCTGCACCCTGAAAATGCAAGCACAGGGACTAAACAAAGTTAGCAATTGGAGAGTTTGAAAATTGTTCTCCATTTAAAAATGTGAAAATTTCTTAATTTTTTGAAAGCAAGCAAAAGGTCTAGAAAATTTCTTCACCCTGAAAATGCAAGCACAGGGCTTGGAAATTCCTCGCCCTGAAAATGCAAGCACAGGGCTTAGAAATTCTTTGCCCTGAAAATGCAAGCACAGTGGCCCTGAAAATGCAAGCACAGGGCTTGGAAATTCTTAACCCTGAATTACACAGGGCCTGAAAATAATTTACCCTTAAAATGCAAGCACATAGCTTGAAATTTCTTCATCCTTAAAAATGCAATAAAAAGGTTTGGAAATTCTTCGCCCTGAAAATGCAAACACAGGGCTTAGAAATTCTTGCCCTGAAAATGCTAGAACAGGGCGTGAAAATTCATTATTAATTACAAATTGATCCAACATTACTCAAATTAATGATATAACTCAAATTCAATATGATCAAATCTAACTCAAATAATACAGAAAAGTTTCCATGTGTTTCATTTTTCACTTTCATTTTTGGTATGATTGTGTAAGAAAATGAATTCCATAACAATTTCCGATAAGATAAATATATGTCTTAATGTTGATATTCAGCTTTCTTAAATTTAGGCTTATTAAAACCAATGAATGACTACACAAAAAGAATTTTCCAGCCCTACATATTTCAAATTTAAAGAAATTCAGGGGGGAAAAAACAAAAGAAAAGCAAAATTTATGATAATACAAAAAGAGCGGTGTATATTTTGTCAGATGCAATAAACAATATAACCTCAAGAAAATAATATTTTCTTTGATAACAGACTTATGATTGTAACAACTGAATATAATCTGTGTTTTTCTTTTGATCATTACAAAAAAGAAAGAAAAAAAATATGTGGCGTTTTAACGGAAGTGAAAAAAAAACTCAAATGAAAATCTTTTCAAAACTGGGCAAACAGTGTACGCTCCTTAACCGGTTAATGTCTTTCCCGGACTTTTGTAAAATTATCTCATAATTATTACATATAGTAACATGGTAAATGTAAATTCAAGATCACTTTATATACATATATACTAGCAACGATTCTATAAAATCTGGCATAATGAAATGTTCTTCTAGTCTAAAAACTGAAATTATCATTCAAGCTGACTGTTTTAAGAAATGATAAAGAAGCGTGTAAAAACTAGTGTACAACAGCAGTGGAGCGTAAAGCTAGCAAAATAAAACACTATAACAGTCTTAATATTCAAAATATGAAAATACTTCTTCCTTCAAGATGAATGATCCCCTTATTTCTAAACCAGTTAAATCTGGTACCGGTTTATAAAATGTTTATATTGCTGCACAATGATGAAAGTTAGTAACCAACATCATTGAAGTTCATCATATAATATTAAAATCAAGATTTATGACAGGTTATATGGCCTCATTTAACTGATTGTAAGCTTTGCTTATATAACCAGAGTTGCTAGATGATGGTTATATAGCAAACAACCCTTTATACACAGCCATATAGCCTGTAAAAATTCTATATAACTGCACGATTACATTACTTGTTAAAGCACTTCACTGAGGACCAAAAGCCAAAAAACTTAAAATTTGAATTTCTTACATAGACCAACTGTGACACTATAAACAGACAGATATGCAAAAGATAACTTAGAAATGTACTGAAAAATAAACTGAAATTGTGCTATTCTTAGCCCAATTTAAGTGAAAGGCATTGCAATGATTTTGCATTATGTGTCATTTTTTACAATCAGAATAATTATTCTGGAAAAACAAAGTAAGGGGCTGATATGAAATTTTGCATCTATATCAAATGGAATATAAATCTCAAAATATATTTCCAGTCCTGTCATGTTAAAAAGTCTCAGTGGAGTCCCTTTAATATAAGAAAACAATTCATAATTTAGCAGCAGTCTGGTATATCAATAATATAAACCTAAGGATCGTCCAAGAAAATAGACGTTACAAATACAATACATGTACACTACTTTTGGTTTTAATAAGGAGATCTTTCATTCCAAAGAAGCTGAACTGATGAAAATAGAAATAGCAATGAAATTTGAAAGAGCGTAAAAATAATTCCATAGCAACTAATTTGGAGGAATATTTAAAACTAAGATTGGTAACAATACATATCATGTCACAATGACGCATAATAGCAATACTAACATTGTTACCATCATGCTGTACACACAGACAATCATGGGCAGTTACCGTGGCAACCAATATCTACAGTCAATGATTCTACTGAATAAACATGTAAACGAAGCATATCTAAGATTTCCTACTTTTCGCCAAAATGAGTTTCAAATTTCTTTCGATTCACTATAGAAATTGATCTTGAAATTTCAAAGGGGAATGATTTTTTGTTTGAAATGAGTAAACTTTTGCTTATTTATAAAAGTGTCCTGGCAAGTAAATGTTATTATGCTTTCGGGCTGATTTTCTTGGTTAATCTTTGGTGGCTCAGACATGCTTTAGCCATAGATTTATACAGGTTTGCAACTCCTTTGCCCTACATATATATATACAGCCCTAGTAAGACAGTATATTATCCCATTTATCTAAAACAAAATAAAATATTTATTTTTTTTTAAATAGAAAGATGCCGATGTCACAAATCCCCCATTTTTGGGGGAAAGATACTTGTTAAGCTGCTTGTAAATACTGTCAAAAGCTCTAGTGTCATCTACAGTGATTGCTTACTCTAAATCTGCAACAACTTAAGCATTGTAAATTGGGAATTTTGGTATGGTAACGCAAAAATTATTTGGAGACCTTTAAAACATTCACTTCTTTCAGGCAATAATATAAACTAACCAATGATGCATTTCAGAAGTAGTCATTATTATATGCTTTGTTTGGTTTTATGGTGCACCAACACAATTTAGGTCATACTGCACCGTAACAAGCAAGATGATTGTGGCTAACATTAGGTGATATAAATCATAATTATATGCTTTAATATACAATTAAACCGTCTTAAATTTTGAGACTTTTCATTATTTCTGGACGGTCTAAAATTTTTACATTAAACTTTTTTGTCAATTAGGAAAAGGCCTAATTAAGCCTATGATTAAGTCTCATGTAGCTTTTTTGATATTTATGAAAAAGCCTAAAAGCAGGCTCTACTCTATGCATGAATTTACTGCATGAATTTACTGGTTTACATTATACCAGTATTCTGCCCATCATAACCTGTATGTACTCCACTATAAACTATATCAAGAATTGCCCACACTACATCTAGTACTCACGTCTGTATCACCATTGGTGATTTTGTTGTTCAATTTTTCTAGGACATTTGGATCGTTGTCTCTAACTGTGTCTAGGAGCCAGGTTACGGTGTCGTTCTCATCGCCAGAATCTACATCACTGTAAACATAGTAATAACACTCGTGTCGTTAAAACAGTCGGTAGTTTACATGAAAATACACTCCTTCAGAACAGTTAAGTTATAATAATAAAATAGTAAAATCTTGAAACCATTATCTTATAAAGAAAACAATGGCTTTTTATGAATCTTTAAATCCTGAATAGGATCTTAAGGAAGAACTCTTTAAGGAAACTTTTATAGATGCTTTTTATTTAGGGAGAAGGGGGGAGGGTAAAGGGGGGAGGGAATCCAATATTACCTAGTGAGGCTAGTGCTTAGGTCACTGTCTCTTAAAGCAAGGATCGTTTGTGGGGATCACATGTTTTTCCTCATGTGTCATTAATACTGGTTACATCAAGGAAACAGGTTTCATAAAGAGAATAATATACGTGGCAAGAACTTGTTTTACAATCAAGCTCAAATAAATATGCTGAAACTAAGTATTGACTACACATAAAAAAATTTCCTTTGTATTGTATAAAAGAATGAATGACCAACTTTAAACAATGAAAAATCTCCTCTTTTATGATCAGGAAGCATGACGCAAAATTTTTAAGTTGTACACTTACGGTTAAACATAGGTTATAATTGAAATTCATTATTATACTGGAAATACACAGTTTCAGCAACATTTATTGGAAATGTGGTTTAAAAAATATACAAAATTCAGGAAGTGTTGCTACACTTTAATACATTTGTATAGTCAGAACGTGCTAAAGGACATGTGAAACAAGCAATTATCATAGTATTGCAAGCAATCCATTAGTCCCCTACCGGTAAGAGCCCAAGCAACATTCTGAAGGGCCATTGGCCATTCACTTAGGTTCCTATTTTAAGTAAATTTGTTGAAAAAGTTCTTTAAAAGTGATCACAGGAAATAGTTTTTATGTACAGACAGACTGAAAGACACTCTAAAGTTATCTTTTAAACATCCCTGTTATCAAAATATAACATTTTTAAAATCCTATCATGATTGAAGAAGTTGGAGTAAAAATTACCAATTTCTCAAAAAAAAGTCTAAGTTCAAAAGGGGCATAATTCTGGAAATAGTCTTGCTAGAGTATTGAACACTCACAAATGTTGAGTGACAATAAGAAACACTTATATGAAGTTTGAAGTAGATACATTCAGAAAAAGAAGTTATTAAAAAAACAATGTTTTTTTCATGAAAATTTTAAGTTCAAGGGAGGTAATTCTAATAAATTTTGTGCTAGAGTTGTAAACCTTGTCACATATGATGTGGTTGATGACAAGCAACTTATATTTAAAGTTTGAAGAAAATACCTTAAGAAATAAAGAACTTATAGTGAAAAAACTTAAAAACTAGAATCAGAAATCTTGAAATTCAGTCTATTTGTTGCCATAGCAACCAGAATTTTCAACATAGGAAGATAAGAAAAGGATGTGAATAATTTCCATACTGCCATCTATCCATATGTCAAGTTTCATAAACATATTTTCAGTACTTTTTGTGTTATCACTGGATCCAGGTTATGTGTAAAATTTGCCATATTTTCAGTCAATTTGTTGCCATAGCAACCAGAATTTTCAACATAGGAAGAAAAGAAAAAGACGTGCATAATCTCCATACTGACATCTATCCAAATATCAAGTTTCATAAAAATATTTTCAGTACTTTTTGCGTTATCGCGGGATCCAGTTTATGTGTAAAATTTGTCATATTTTCAGTCTATTTGTTGCCATAGCAACCAGAATTTTCAACATAGGAAGAAAAGAAAAAGACATGCATAATCTCCATACTGCCATCTATCCATATATCAAGTTTCATTAAAATATTTTCAGTACTTTTTGCGTTATCGCGGGATCCAGTTTTGTGGACGGACGGACTGACGGACGGACAGACGGACGACCGGACAGACAGACAGACGGACGGAGGGTAAACCTAAAGTCCCCTCCGGTAAACCGGTAGGGGACTAAAAACTATACATGAAAAAATAAAGAATGACCTTTCACGAGGGCTATCACTGAAATTGAATATCCGTAATATACTAGAAATACAAATTTTCAGTCACTTTTATTGAAAAGGTGTATTTAAAGATACACACAATTTGGGAACTGTTGCTAAAATTTAATACATATGTAACAGACTGTGTTAAAGGACATGTGAAAAACCATACATGAAACAATAATGAATGACCTTTTACAGATGGTATATTTTGTTTCAGTTAAAAGTTTTTATTTAAGGGGGGATTACTGTTTAAAATATAATAAAAAATTATCTTAAATTTTCCAAGATTCAATATAGCCAAAGACTTTTTACTTACAACTGCTTCTGTTTAAAAGTTGGACTTACGCATCAATGTTGAAAGAGGTTAGCTTTTGTCACAATTTACACAAGAGTTTGGTTTTATTAACAGACAGAAGGTAATAATTCTAATTATAACCCCTGCTCTGTTGCAGGGGTTCGGTTAGCCGTAGTACAAAAATGACTGATGTAAATAAAACCTACTCATTACTGTCGTCACTGTCGGAGTCCGCCACATTTCCTCGCTCAATCTTCCACCGTTTATACCGATCTATTAAATCTTGTAAAAATGACGTCTTTCTTGCCTTACGTATAAACGGATGCCGTAATAAATCTTTTGCTGACGGTCTCTAAAAATAGAATATAACAATTAATATGCTATATCAAATAAAGAATACCAAAACAGAAACAAACAGTATGATTTATGAAGTAGTCACACCTGAGCCTTAACTTCAATATCAGAAAATCTTTAAAATAATGAAAATTATCCTTTGTAATTGTGATAGCCAGATTTAACTTCTACAGCTTTATTGCATTATTTTAGGCACACGTGGGCACCTGAGCAGAACGACCATTGTTTTATAAGCACACTGTATAGCTTCCTTGCATGCAATGCACAGAATCCAAAAGTACCTAGTAGGACCCAAATCTGCAGCAATAAGACCCACGTAATTACAAATCACTGACTGTTCCACTCAGCTAGTGGGCCACAGAGTTCCTTTGAAGTCATTTTATTTTATAATTCTAATTGTTAAGTGGATGTAACAATGAGTATTGTACATATATGGAGTGGTTTTAATAATTTCATAAATCATTTATCTGTCCAGATAATGCCGTCGTGTACAGATCATTGATGTTTTTGGTTAAAAGTCACACTGACACAAACATCCAAGTTTTCATTCCTTAATATTCAATGTAAATCAATCTAACTTTTTTTATGGTTGCTTTTACGTCACATACATAAAGTATAGGTCATATGGCAACTTTCCAATTTGTACTCAATCATATAAAACAAAACTCTCTTCAATAACTTATAATCAAATAAGCCAGAACATGAAATAGAAACACATATACTTACGTTATTTGGATCTTTATTTAAACACAATTCTACAAATTCTTTGAACAGTCTACTATAGTTTCCTATCAACTGTGGTGGATTGTTCTTTGGAATGAGAAAAAGGACCCGCATCGGATGTAAATCGGAATTTGGAGGTTCACCTTTGGCTAATTCTATCGCTGTTATACCTAAACTCCATATATCAGCCTGAAATTAATGAAACTCCATATATCAGCCTGAAATTAATAAAATTCCATTTATCACACACCCGTGCCGATTTTGCGACTCCGTAAATATGGTATTGCACGGCCGTGCATATATTATGACGTGACGTCATTAGCGTTATACAAACAAAGAGTAAAGACGCGCTAAATAATAGCGTTATACTATAGGCGCGTCAAAGAAAAATGACTCTTATTTCACTTTAAACGGTCTTATTTTTTGGTATGTGATAAATAGAATATTAAATTCGTGTAAGTTCATGACTGAATTTATTGCACTCGTTGAATAAAATAATATTATGCTCGCCAGAGGCTCGCATAATATAAGTTTATTCAACTCGTGCAATAAATTCAGTATTGAACTTACACTCATTTAATATCCTCTATATATCAGCCTGAAATTTATATTTTCCCTGATCATGTCTTGCAAAAGTGACATTCAATTAATAAGACCTGCTCAAAAGAAAAAGTTGGTTGAGTTTTAATTCAACACCAACAATGCTCACATTCTTCATTCTTGCTTTACTACGAAGACTCAGGTGCCTCTTCAAGCATTATTTCAGGCCTTTAGGTTCCATGATAACCGCCGTATGAACACATATGCGGATGTCTCTAAATTCAAAATTTCACCATTTTCGTGTTTAATGTTGAATTCTGCTAAGCCGGTGCTATGGGGCTTGGACGGTAACTTGCACTTTCCAGTACCGTCCATGAACAGGCTCAATCACACCTAGCCTGCAACATTTTCAATTTTGTTGTGTTGGAATTTCTTTAGGGATTCTGTTTTACTCTATTCAAACTAGAATCAATGACATTCTGAGTAGCTTCCTCACGAAAAATGTGCCCAATGCTAAAGGATTTTAAAAGTCAAGATGATGGTTAGGGACATATGAAGTCATCAACCTAAATCACTAATCCATTGAAGCCCCCCCCAACACACACACACACACTAAGAAACAATTCATATACAACTTTGTTTTATCTATCTATAACTAACATTTAAAATAATCTTATATCTTTGAATTATAATCGTTTCTCTGTACATTCAGAATAATACAGGTTTTTTTTTGTTTTGCTTTTTTCTTGGTTATTCCGAGCTTTAAAACATTACTTTATACTCAATTCTAATTACCACTCTAAGTAAAGGCAAAATTAAAAACTTCAAAAAACTGATTTTCTTTATTTGAACTTTAAAATTAACTTTCATTTAAGAAGGAAGTTTATAATGTACTGTCACTTAATCTTTAATCGGCATCTAGTGCAAAACAATATAAACAAAACATAAAACGCCAAACAGTATAAACAAAAACATAAACGGAAAACAGTTTAAACAAAACCTTAAAATGGAAAATCCTTCCAAACCTCAAATATGTTAATATTGCAAATCCTCATCTTAGTGCAATAACGGAATAAGTTTTTTCTAAATTTAATAGGAGTTAATCAGTTATTGCACTAAGGTGACGAAATATTACAAACATTCATGCTTGTATACAAACAGACATAACTTAAAACCAAGTTTGTTTTTTCCCCCATCATTAATACCTTTTTGAAAAGTAATAAATTTTTTATTAAATGCTGTATTATGCTCTTAAACCAAACTTCAAAGGAAATTCACTAATGCGAACATATTACGATATCTAACAATTGTCAATATATGTAATAAAATACCATACTTTTTTCTGCCTGATTTCACACAACGATATATGAGCCGTGTCACGACAAAACCAACATAATGGGTTTGCAACCAGCATGGATCCAGACCAGCCTGTGCATCCGCGCAGTCTGATCAGGATCCATTCTGTTCGCTATCAGTTTCTCTACTTGTAAAAGAGTTGGTAAGCGAACAGCATGGATTCTGATTAGACTGTGTGGATGCGCAGGCTGATCTGGATCCACTCATTATGTTGGTTTTGTCGTGACACGGCTCATATGTAAGTTATAACAAAGTTGAGGTAGAGGATGCTGTCCTATTGGTTATAAATAAACAAGGTTTAATGACTTGTGAGTTGTATGTACAAATTAAATTAATTAAATTCTCACCAGGTAACCTTCTGTGTGGGTTTTATGCATTGTAATTTATAAATCACATAAATTTCTAAATGCATTTGAATATATGTAAGTTGGACATTTCAAATAAGTTTATTAAGGTATCACACCTTTGGTACGTAGGCATGTGTATTTATTATAAATTGGAGTAAATTACTCAAATTGGGAAATTTGCTGTCTGGAACAGTGCCGCTTTTGGAAAATAGTTATGCAAGGGGGAAATATTTTTAAATAACCCCTAAAAATGATAAATGGTTTTGCCTAGATTGAAGGATGGACAAGTACATTTAAGATATTTAGCTTGGTAAAAGTTAAATTATTATACCTTTGTGTCGTATGCTGACTGTTTAATAACTTCTGGTGCCATCCAGAATGGTGTTCCTACAAATGTGTTCCTTTTATTCATCGTATTAGTGAGCTGGCCCGCCACTCCAAAGTCAGCAAGTTTAACATCTCCCTGCTCTGATAGTAACACATTGGCAGCTGAAATATATACCAATATTATTTCATCTTTCTTAAATATTCTTTTGTGTATGTATTATCAATACCACTGATTTTTTTTTACCATCAACGGGCATTATTTAAACATTTTTTCTTAAATATTTCACAATTTTAAAGCTAGATACTTGAAACTTTAACACAATACAGCTCAGTTCTTTTCTCAAAGAAAAAGAGCAACTAATTTAAAGTTATCCAATTTTATTGACACTTGAAAACATGGCCTGTACAGGATGAATCAATTTCCAAAACTGTGCTAACTAAAATGCATTACGATTTGTCCACAGAGGTATGTACAACTTAAATTTATCTGATTGATCAAATTAATGGATCTGCACAGGTTGGATTGTTCACTTGTCAGGATTTGTTGGTCTCAAACCCGCATGTGGGGGAAAGGTGCAGTGGGGAGAGAACATCTCAGATGCTAAAAGTAAAACATAACATTATATAACATCAAGGTCATATCTTAGCTGCAGATTGTGTTCTATGTTCCTACAATGTATCTATGTTCCCAGTACAACAGTACCTCCTATGCCAAAGACACTTAAAAACAGTACCTCACCTATTTTGGACCTTACAAATGGCAGTGGCTTTTTTTACTGCGGCTAGATGGGTCATGCATAAAGTTGCTTAATACAGTGTAACAGTATAGCATTAATTGTTCGGCAGACTCGGGAAACAAAGTACATGTAGTTGGATGCAGCAAACTACTACCGTCTACTGTAGTGCTAATTGTACAAAAGCAAACCCTGAAGTAAAACAAGCTAACTTTATAGCTTTGCACATGAAAGAATTAACTTTCACTCATTAAGTCGTTATAAATGGTAAATGTAACAAAAGACCCTGGGCAATCAGTCTGCTCTCCAGTCATGTTATTTGCTTATCAGCAAAAATATTATTTGTTTGTCAATATTGTAAAAGTTTGATGATGTCAGTGGATTTTCTCACTTAATTGGGAAAAGGCCTAACCCTCTAGATTTAGGAAATAGTTATAGTTAAAATTGCTAATTTTGGAAGTAAAAAATCTAGGGTAAGGTTAGATTTTTGAAAAAACTGCATGATTTTAAAGAAAATTTCAATTGGGAAGAGACCTTTTATAGGCCTCTGTTATATAGACAGGGAAAATCACTGTTCACAGAAAGTCTGAAAACAGGCTTAAAAAGAAATCCACATTTATAATAAAGGCAAGTCAAATCTTTTATTACCTCCCTTTATTGTATTATCCTGATGTCATGCCTCTTACATAATATTTCTCTAACCTAATCATACAATGTCGCTATTTTGGAATGTGACGAACCTATATTATTATCTATTCATATTTTGAAAAAGGAAGTTGAGAACTTTTTAAACATCAATATTTCATAATTCACATTCAATGCATCAACGAAAAAAAAAAAATTTAATTCTTTGCAGGGGATATAAATTTGCATTAGATAAACGGAGATCACAACAGTTTTTGCTGCATCGGAATTTCAAAAAAAGATATATATATTTGAACTTGTTTGACCTACAATCGTGTGCAAATTTAACGCAATAAAAGCATAACAAAAAATTACTCAATGTGAAATTATTGAGATTACAATATTGTCACCTATTTTAGTAAATCGTTATCTTGTTTTGTAAATTAATTAAAACACAAAAATTTTTTATCAATATAATTTTATGATAGAGGATATGGAATGAGTGTAGATTTTACGCTTATTTTAGTCAACAAGCTCAATAAATTTAGTATTGCATCTACACAAATACAATATTCTATTTATCACATATCTATTTTTTCAGTGAAAAAGAGTCATTTGTTTGTTTGTTTGCTTCATTTTATGCCTTTTCCCAACAGTATTTCAGTCATATAGGCGGGTAGTTTCCTAACCATCGTTCCTGGAGAGTTACACCAGTACAAGACTACCTTCTCCGCGCTAAACTACCAAAGCTTCTCCCGGGGATCGAACCCACGCCAGTGAGGTAACTGAATTAGAAGTCATCGACTCTAACCCCTCGACCACGGAGGCGGAACAAAAGAGTCATTTTCAGTTGACGTGCTTATAGTGCAACGCTTACATAAGCGCGCTTTAACACTGTTTTTGTATGGGTATCATAGCGCAAATGACGTCATATCAAAGTGGTTTTAAAATAGCGTAATATTGTTTTTATTACATGGCTTTTTTACACTTCTGCACATAGGTTTACCATGTAAACCTTAAAATACGTGGTAAACCTTATTATGTAGACATTTCATTATTATAGTCATTATTATTACCCCTTACCATCCTAAATGAATGCCTGGTAAGTTAAGATCTTTGATTGGTGACATAGAACTCTCTAATCATAGCTTTTTACATACAATGTGGTTATCATACTATTCACCTCAAAATTAGTTTTCATTCCACTGAGGCAATCAATATAAAATCTACCCACTCAGAATCCCCCTACTCTGTTTTCTTTTTTCCTTTTTTTTTACCCTCTAACAATTCTTTGGATTTGTTTTCTCTTATTTTATTTTAGATTTCATTCAAGTCACAAAGACACTGTTATGGTGAAGGTCATACAGTAACTTAGTCAACATTACCATGGTACATTCAGAACAGAACAGAACATGAATCTTATTTTTTTAGACTTAAAACATTTCACTCCTCATCCATATCACGTTTATACACAATTGTGTCAAAGTTAAACAATATAATGATATCTACAATATTGAAAATAATATTAACTGTTGTATATATGACAAAATTTGAAGGTATGAATAGGATTTTTCAATAAGGTGTCAATTTCAAAACCACAGGTATAAGTTCTTTAACCGGCACTCTTACAATGTTTAAACATATCATTACGACAAAAATTACAAATAAAACATTCATTTCATAAAAAAAAAAAAAAAAAAAAATCCGCTGAAAAATCTTTCTCTAAGCAAAAGTAATAGAAACTAGGAAGTGCAACAGCAAATTTTTTTTTTTTTTAATAATGTCCCGACTATTGGAAAAACGAGTATTGAATTATTTACTTTTAAGGCGGGAAACAATTCTGTAATATCATGAAATTGAAATCAATTACACCTAACCTTGCAAACTTTTCTATGAAGTACAAAGTATATATATATAATTTAGCCGCGTCACAACCAACATAGTGCTTTTGCGACCCGCATGGACCCAGACCAGCCTGCGCATCCACGCAGTCTGATCAGGATCCATGCTGTTTGCTTACAAACTTTATTACACGTAGAGAAACTGATAGTGAACAGCATGGATCCTGATCAGACTGCACGGATGCGCAGGCTTATCTGGATCCATGCTTGTCGCAAACGCACTATGTTGGTTTTGTTGTGACGCGGCTCAAATGTTTACTACTGTTATAGAGTTTATTGAGGTCATTATACTTTGGTTCAAAAAAAACTTTCTAGCTAACTGCATGTCTCCTTATTTTTCAATCATTTCTTTATCTTATTTGGTTGGCTTTTAAAGTGAATATTTCTATAATCAGTGTCTATTCTAAGAAGCGCGATTGCCCGATTCACGCTAGTATTTCACAGATCGCGCTCAATTCAAAATCATGTGCGTGAAAATCGCACATCTATAAAAAAAGTTAATAAAATCGTAAAACTTCCATCCCGCATTAAATTTGGTTGTTTTGTTTACATTAATTTCGCGACAGTTCTATAATAATTTGTTTTCATTTATAAATTAAGGGGTGACAACTTCTGCTGCCTTAAATAAATATTTTCGTTTTAATTATTTAATAGGTTGAACGCCTCGGTGTAAACTTAATGCAGACGATTTAGCATTGGCAGTTTATATTGGCACCCCTTGATTTTGAAAATCCCCCCCCCACCCCTTTTTTGAAATATAGGGGGGAAAATCACCCTTATTTTTGAATTCCTAGAATAGACACTGTATAATGGCAGGCTTGTAATACAAAAATTTATTACTTTAATAGTATTTAGTGTTTGAAATTATTTTTTGTCCAATAGGATTGCAGTATTTCAAATGAATCGTAACACATTTTCTTGTGGTAAATCTGCAAACTATGAATCAGTCTCATAAATGGACTGTTTTTATAAGAATAATTTTAAACACAAACGTGACAAAGCTGGTTAAAGTTTATTTGGCCGCACCAATTTAATTTTGTAAATATGTACAAATAAACTTTAACAAACTTATACTCAGTACGAGATAATTATAACAACAAACCAAGAAAAAATTATATAGGATGTGGTTGGCAAAGTGTGAATCAGGATTTAATTTTACATGATATTATAATTATTTACATAGTACAGGGCTCCAGATAAGATGCGTATACGCGTAAATTACGCATGGAAATAACCCGTTTACGCATTCAAAACAAAATTTAAGCGTATGAAAACGCACACAAAATTCAGGTTACGCATTGAGCAACATTTCTTTCGCGTAAACGTAACCGAAAGTAAACTCGGTGATTATTTCATTTTCAATTTCGTCTGAACGCTTTGCAAGCGTCTACCGGTAACTTCCTGTAGTTCCGACCATCATCGGTTGTTAGCGTATGTATAGTATGGTGGTGGAATTAACTTCGTATGAATGCTTTGCAACGTCTAACGGTAACTTCCTGTAGTTCCGACTATCATCGGTTGTTAGCGTATGTATAGTAAGGTGGTGGAATTAACTTCGTATGAATGCTTTGCAACGTCTAATGGTAACTTCCTGTAGTTCCGACTATCATCGGTTGTTAGCGTATGTATAGTAAGGTGGTGGAATTAACCAGTACAATGTCGCTGTCAAAAGTTAAAACGATTGACTCGTATTTTCAGCCGAAAAAAAAATCGACCCAAAAGTAATTGTGACGGTTATAATTAATGAAATAATAGCGCTCCAGGTATGAGCAACAGAAACATGCTTCAGGTTCAGATAAAACGTATGCCGTTTGGAAATGCAAGATTATAAACCAAGAGAGTCCAAAAAGCAAAAGAAATGACTTTGACATATTTTGTATTACACGTATAATAATACATGTTCAATAAACATGGAAGCATAATAAATCTTTTACTCTTTTACATACATTTTAAGGAGTAAAAATACTCCTGTCAAATTTCAGATTTCAAGTTTTACTCATTCACAAAAAAATCAATGAGTAAATACTCATTGCCCTAAAAAATTATCTGGAGCCCTGATAGTAGATAACAAAATGTTCTAGAACAAAATATTATTATTAGTCATATATTATATAATTATGTTCCTACAAAATCACTTATAACTTAATCTTTTGTATATATATTCCTACTGAATCAATTATAACTTTTTCTTTAAGTAAATTTTTTCTAAGACTATCCAAAATGATACATTTCTGCTGCTTTCATCAATATTTGAAATACTTATGGAAAATGTGCCAATTGTAGACCAATTCACTTTAAACTATTCATCACTTTGTAGGTGTCATAGGGATTCTGAAGCATGGATGGGCACAAATTCTTCCAGGAACAACTTCTGTTAGCTCGAATAATTATTAAAGTGTCTGGCAGGATTTGAAACCACAGTGTCAAAGGGCATATGAATAGAAGATGGCACCCTTAAGCACCTGGCCGTGGAGGATCCTAAATTTGGTTCATTTAATACACTTGAGCCGCGCTATGACAAAATCAACATAGTGTGTTTGTGACCAGCATGGATCCAGACCAGCCTGAGCATCTGCGCAATCTGATCAGGATCCATGCTGTTCGATTACAAACCCTATTACAAGTAGAGAAACTGATAGCGAACAGCATGGATCCTGATCAGTCTGCGCGCAGGCGCAGGCTGGTCTGGATCCATGCTGGTCGCAAACCCACTTTGCTGGTTTTGTCATGGCACGGCTCACTTACTGTAACAAACAATTTCACTGTGTAAAACTGTATTACTTTAAATTATACAAGTCTATACTTACCCTTTAAGTTCCCCCAACAATACCTTATACTTACCTTGATAAATCCATTTTTTTTATCACAAATAATTCAATTAACTTCCAACACTTACGCACATATTTCTAGATTTCTTCACAATAATTAATATACATGTCATATCTTAAAGCAAAGAATTAGTTTCATGACCAATCAGGATGTTCAAAGCAATTAGAGGGTAATGTGCCTTTAAAGACCTCAAATGAGGTTTTCTGATAGGATGGGACTAGAAATGTTTTTTATGAAAAATTTGTGTACATAGACCATTTCATGTACGTCTAAACCAATAACTTTTGTGCAAAAATTTAGAAAATTCATTCTATTTTCCAGAATTATCATTTAAATAATGCAGAATAACCCAAATAGGAGATTCTTTTATCAAAATGGTAAAATGAGGCTGTCAACAGCACTGGGTCACACTTGAACTCTCAAGATTTTAAAACCTTTGCGAAAGACACAAATCATCACCTCTAACAAACATTAATATTGTATTGCTCATATCAAGAAATGTATTTCATAACCTTAGTGCAATAACTGGTTAACTCTAATTAACTTTAGCAGGACTTAACCCAATACTGCACTAAGGTGACAATTTGCCTCCACTCACAAAACAATCATAGAACACAACTGAGCTTAAAATATGACATGTATATATATCATCATTATTATTATTACGCTATATCACACCTTTAATGTCTCTATGAAGTTTCCGCTCTGAGTGCAAATAATCTAAGCCTTTGATAATTTCACGTAAAATAATGGCTATATCGTTTTCCGAGAATGGTCCCGCCTTCATTAAATCTAATCCTGACCCGCCGCCCAGATACTCCATCAGAATCCACAGATTCGAACCCTGTAAAACAAAATTATAACCCTTGTTAATGGATAATCCACAGATTCAAACCCTGTAAAACAAAATTATAACCCTTGTTAATGGATTATCATTATCATTTGAATTATTCTGATAACTTAAATCAGTCCATTCAAAGTCGAAAAGTTTTCAATATCAAAATATATAAAACTTTTTGCATCCCAACACAGGGCTTTTTTCCCTCTATAACAGGGGCTGGTATAGGGCTGTTTCCCCAAAGAAAATTTCTTTAAAATCATGCAGTTTTCCCCTTTTGCAAATATACCATGTAATTTTCCCCCAAAATTAAGGGCTGAGCTGCTTCCCCAAAAAGCCCTGCAACAGTCAATCAACCTTGCTAGTTCTGTCATTACATACTTTGGAATTTCCTTTCATTTGTTAGGAAGAGGCCTTTGACTCTTGATTTTGTGGAGGATTATCACTAAAATTTACTAGTTTGGGATGTAAGTTCAGATTTTTGGGAAAATTGCATGATTCTAAAGTAATTTCTGTTGGGAAGCATAGGCCTCTGTTATTTATATAAGCTGAAAATCACTGTTGTGGCAAGAGTTAAATATGAAGTAAATAATTATGTTAAATGTATAATCTCTACCAATAGCAATCATTATGATTACTCTTAATTAAACCAATTCATGTGAAATTTCTTAACATAATATGCAAAACATTTTATTACCAATAAAAGGAATGGTTCAAGGATTTTTTATTTAAAGAGGGAAAATATTTCTTTATTTCCCTAAGTTACATGGATCAATGAATAGATACTTAATTCAGCATCAGACGATTTCCTCATTTTCATTTTTTAAGTCGGAAGTAAATAACAACGATATGAAACATTATGAATAGTGATAGTGCTATAAATAGAGAACAGTCATGAAATTATTTCAATAGAAATCTGACTGACACATTAAACTGTTTTCTTTCTAAATGAAATTAAAACAGCTTATATTACCCAATCAAATCGCTTCTCTCTCTCTCGCGTTATGTTGGAAATGCTAAGAGATTTTACTGTCCTTATTACAAAATGCCATATATATTTATGGGTCATACAAGTCATTTCATAAATACTAAGGGTGGATTGGTCAAAAGCAGCAAACAATATTTTACTTTAGGCTGCATATATAAATATAATGCAAAGATACTACTTTTAATTTCATTTCATCTCTTCCCCCAATCCCTCTCTCCCTCCCCACTCCCAAAGACAGGTCATATTTTTTTTAAATCAACAACCTTTTAAAGAGTACTTATACACATAAAAGGTTATAATGATGAGGTCAAGTAATGACAACATTCAATTTCTGCTCGGTCATGATTATACATAATGTCCCGGTATTTTAACAAAAGTGTAGGTAACTAGAACAAGGTCAGTGACATAACACTCAAGGCATTTTAATAACATCATCCCTATGTGATGATACATTACAAATTTGATGACAAAAATATGATAAATCAGGGTGGTACACCTGTATTAACATTAATGAAAGTTTAACCTCAAAAGTTTAACAAGTTAAACCAAACGTTTTAAACAGTGAAATCTAGGAAATTGGCAGTGTCGCAAGATCATATAGAAAATTTAATGTGGCCAAGATCTTGGAATTTGACTGTTGACTTGGCTCTAGAAAGATTTATATAATTGGTAATTAAACCAGATTTAAGTAATTGGCAATTAAACCAGATTTAGATAATTGGCAGTAGCTACATTTTGAAAGTTAGTAGCATTAAAAATTGGCTGTAGTCTGATTTCGGTTACTTGGCATAATGATAAGACAGTTTATGGACATTGTCAGAATTGATACTTTGCAGTTCTTTGAAAGATAATGGCATTGGCAGTGACAAAATTTTTATCATTGGCACAGTCGCATATATATTAGGATATTGGCATTACCCAAACTTAGCGTTATTCACATTTAGGATAATGGCATTAGCCACATTTAGAACATTGGCATTATTCACATTTAGAATAATGGCATAACCCACACTAATGACAATGACATTACTCACAATTAGGACAATGGCATTAGCCATATTTAGGACATTGGCATTTGCACATTAAATACCTCATATCAAAGAAATTGGAAGAAATAATAATTTCTTTTGTGAAAGAAGTCAGTAGAAGCGTTTTATGTCATTTATTTTTTCAAGCGATCTCTGAAGGACATATTTTTCTGACACAACTACACAGGTCTTTTAACTACACTTATTTCATTCTCTAATCAAACAAACAAAAGCCATCTTTTCTCGGAATCTGTACCATTCCTATGAACAATTTTCAAAGGGAATCTAATTTGAAAATGCTTTATTTTTAATTTGATCGTGTACAAAGCTATAAGCTTATGGACATACTCTCAAATCCATTCCTGTAACCAACCAGTACTGAGCAATGAAAGTTTCTTGCCCAAGGAAACAAAAGCTTGCCCTGACATGGATTTGAACCCTCATAATTATCAATCCTTAAGATTACTAGTCCGACAATGTTAAGCACTTGGCCATGCCACAACTTACACGACAAGAGTAAATTTCATGCGGACACTTACCTTTAGGTATGAACCATAATACTTTGTGACATATGGACTATCACACTGTGAGAGAACCATTATTTCCTGCTGAATATCCTCAATCTCATCCTCTGCCTCTTCTAAGTCTATTATTTTTATTGCTACAACTTCTTGTGTTTCATTGTCTATTCCTTTAAACACTTCACCGAAAGATCCTTTACCAATTTTTTCTAGTTTTGTAAAGCGAATTTCTGGATCAACAGCCATCTTGGAAGCCCTCTACAAAAGACGAACAAAATTTATGTAATTTTCATTATATTATCATTATTAATTTATGTTAATTCTTATTCTGTATTCTATCAGTGAGATATCACAAGTGAAATATATGCCATATCACTCACTAAATATATTAAAATTACTGCAATCAATCCATTTTCTTTCCAGTCAACATCATTCTATCCATTTCTTCATTTTCCCCTTTATTTTCCCTCTGCGCCTTAATTTTCCCCACTCTTGCCCAATTCGCATAAAAGTTAAAATTATAAATTTGACTTGGATATTTTGTTTATTCACTTTTGATATCTAATTAAAATCATTACACTAAAAGCACCATATCACTTAAAAGTCTGTAACGAATTTGTATACAATTTTGTAATAACAGTAATATATCATAACAGTAAAAATATAACTTACACTTCAAAGTGATATATTTTTCATATATTCACCAAGAACAAACAAATACCATCCACTTATCATTGATACGATATTTCATGCTAGTATATAGAACACCATCAACATCAAAAGTTTGAAATGTCCTATATTAACATTATATCCGACTTCAAAAGATTCACTACAAAGATGTAATATTTATCTTTTCATGCTTCAGGAAAGAATTTGTCATTTCTGTTCATAAAATAAACAAATATATTTGGGAGTCATCTCCTATATGACTGTTTAAGTTTCTGCGTTCTGAGAAACATTTTGAAATTTCAATCAGGATTTCGTCAGCAATAATTCACCTAAACTTTAATTCTTGGATTTTATATTATTATATTGATCAATTGATTTTTTTTCTTTGAAAATGAACAATTAAATTGTCCCATTGAGAACAATGAGAATTAATAGGATACTGTGTACCACAGTGACACAATCAATTCAAGTACCAGCAACTTCATACAGGAACAAAATAAAGTACAAATTGCTATAACTGAAAGTGCTTTGACTCTGCTGTGACTGTATAGAGAGCCAGGCCAGCTAGGCATTGTGACTGTCCCTGCAGTCATGTCCCTGCAGTCTGAGTCTCTGACCCAAGGCCCTATACTATAGTGGCTGCTTACTTTTTTTATAAACCCAGGCCAGCATTACACAACCTGTGCAGTCAGACCAGGCTCTTTATTGTTGGTAGCTAAAATTTTTGTATTTTAATATTTAAATCCCTTAAACTTTAAATGGACTGTTCCAAATTCAAAACTGGGCAAACTATTTGTGTATATATAAACTGCAGCATTTGAAATTATGCACTATTTGTAACTTTCAAACTAACTATGTACATAATATGCTGCAACCTTTGAAACTTCCATAATGACCAAACAGATAGAATTACATTCATAGACAAAAATCTTTTGTTTGAATCATCTCACTTTTGAAGTTTCGATCCAGATAAGATATAAGTAAAAAAAACTTATATATCTCTTTTCTTTTAAGGTTATTGCATTTCAGTTGTTACAAGGCCACAATTAACAGCTAAGTTTCACTTACTATGAACTATTCAACAATTGGCCACTGTTTTAAAATCATATGTAAATGACATGTTTATCTGTAAAAACCAAACCACTCAACTGTTCAAGATATGACAAATATTTCACTTTATCAAAATAGAGCCTATTTCTAGTTCTATTTATAGACATATCATAACCCGCATCGGCCATGTGTGTAATAACTTGGCCCAATGTCATCTCTCAAAACTGCAATTCAATAAGTTAAAATTGTAATAATTTTTATTTATAGCTCTGACAACCTTACTATAAAATGAATCACTTTAAACTTATCTATTTGTAATATTATGACCATTCTATCATTTAAGATGTGAACATACATGTATTTTTTTTCTTTGTTAATTGTTTTGCATCAATCAAGTATATAGGGTGATGGCGCATCATTCTTTTACAATGGCTGACAGGGGGTCAGGGCTTTTCTATCTCCGATAGAGGAAAAGGGTCCTTCCCTGAATTTGGAGGGGAAACAAAAGAATGGAATTTTTAAAGGTTTTTTTTTGCAAAAGGGAATAAAAAAACTCAATGTTAACTGAATTTTTTGGGGGAAAATGCATAATTTTTATTAATTTTTCAGTCTTCAGATAGCAAGAGGCTTGAAAAAGGCCCTTGCTATGGAAAGAAAAAAAGCCCTGTGAGTCAGTGTGTTTGGAGGGTTGAAGAGTCATAATTTCATATTCTGGGTCAAGTCATATAAAGACCTGTAGAAAATATGCAACATTCAAAGTTTCAGATGAACTGAGATAAAATGAGAATGCATTTGTAAAGTACTTGATAGCTGAGATCAGGAAGGCCCATTAGAGATAACAGCTATAATAAATATATCACATCATGGTAACAATACAAAACTGAACATGCACCAGTATCATGCACTCACTTCATATCCTCAACACTTTGCATGACAAAATAATGCTTTAATTGCTTTCTAAACATTATAATATTGATTTCTTGAACAATTATATTTCATTCAAGTACTTCTCTTTTTATTAATACCAGTTATAAATTTCCTTCTGAACTGTTTCCCTGACTGAACAAGTAGCTATATAGGACAACTTGAACAAGAGCTGTCCGTAAGACAGCGCGCTCGACTTTTTTATTGCTTGCCAATAAAAAAAGTTTTTGCAGTAAAAGGCAATACAAGAATCTCTGTATTTTTAAAGTGAACAATGGCCATGAGCATTAAGATATTTAGTGAAGAATTATTTTATTATGACATAATTTATGGTAAAGTGAACAAGTGGATAGGAATGAATTTTTTTAGATTTTTTAAGTTTTTTAGTGCTTGCCTATAATACAAAACATTGACAGTTAAGGGCCATAATTCAAATAAAATCTTTGACAGAATTACCTTCTCCTGGACATGTTTGGGAATCATGATTGTAAACAAGTATTCCAACTTTCAAATTAATATCTCAAACAGTTCAGTCAAAAAGTGGACTGGTACTAAAAACTTAACCAAGATTCTAAGTCGATAAAAGGCCTTAATTTTTAAAACAAATCCTTGACAGAGTTACCTTCTCTTGCGTACAGATGGGGGTAATGATGTGAAATAGCATTAAAAGTTTCAAAGCAATATCTCAAAGGGTTAAGGCAATAAGTGGATTTTACCCATATTCAATGTATTTTCTAAGTCAAAAAGGGGCATAATTCTGTCAAAAACCTTGACAGAGTTATGTCCTCTTGTCTGTTGATGAAGGTCGTGATGGTAAACAAGTATGGTCAGTTTCAAAGCAATACCTCCAATGGTTTTGAAATAAAGTGAGGTGGTACAAAAAACTTAACCAAGCTCAATACACTTTCTAAGTCAAAAAAGGGCCATAATTCTGTCAAAAACCTTGACAGAGTTATGTACTCTTGTCTGTAGATGGAGGTTATGATGGTGAACAAGTATGGTAAGTTTCAAAGCCATACTTGTAATACTTCTGAAATTAAGTGGGGTGGTACGAAAAACTTAACCAAGGTGTGACGCCAACGCCGACGCCGGGGCGAGTAGGATAGCTCCCCTTTTCATAGAAAAGTCGAGCTAAAAATGCAAAAATTAAACACAGTTTTTACCCCTTGTTTCATATGCCCAATGTAAACATTACTTTCTTCATTTTAAGTAAAGTTGATCACAATTTTAGACTTATAAAAATATTTCGAACAATTTTTTGTTACTCAAGCAGAACTTAAAACTGTACTCCCAATTTTTTGTTAATTAAACTCTCTCTAGTGAAGGGTAATGTTTGCGGTCCATTTTTTTGTAGATGCAACTTAATAAGAAGTAAATGCCTAAAAAATTAATATTTAGAAATGTGATTAAAACACCTTTACCTTTATTGCACTCAGAGTTTAAACCCATTTATTTCTGACTTTTTAATACTAATCTATACATAAATCATAATAAATGTGAACCATAAATGTATCAAACCAACCTAATTCTCAAATCTACACCTCGTTTAATATCATTCTTTAATAATGATTATACCATATACATTAAATTTTGTGACACCACTTAAAACAGAGTAGTTTCATAAATTAAACAGTTTAGAGGTTGCTTATATTACATTATTATTAATGATTATACAAAATCTCAAGAATGCTTGAAAACCAGGAACTTGTTACAATATATTATGACCCTTGAATTCTCTTTAAATTTCATTGTCAGCAATCTATATATGAGCCGCGTCACGACAAAACCAACATAATGCGATTGAGACCAGCATGGATCCAGACCAGCCTGCGCATCCGGGCAGTCTGATCAGGATCCATGCTGTTCGATTACAGACCCTATAACAAGTAAAGAAACTGATAGTGAACAGCATGGATCCTGATCAGACTGCGAGGATGCGCAGGCTGGTCTGGATCTATGCTGGTCGCAAACCCATTATGTTGGTTTTATCATGACACGGCTCATATAGACATGTACTTTCACAGTCAGTGATTTCTCTCACTTTATTTGAGAGAGACCATAGCCTCTTGATTTGGGGGAAAATTATCGTTCAAATTGTTAATTTGGGAAGTAAAAAGCAGATTTAAGTTAAGATTTTTGGGAAAACTGCTTGATTTTAAGAAAATTTCAATTTGGAAGAGGCCTTTTATCAAAGTTTAGAAAATCACTGTCATGCTAGCAACATTTTATTAGAACAGAACAGAATTTTAATTTTCTCAAATCTCCACTAACTTTTGTATAACATACCATTGTAATTAATATTAAGCAAAGAAGAAAACCTGTCTTTACATCGTAATTCAGAAAATACCCTTAAACTGCCTATAAATTAATGAATTGGTCATATAATGCCCAGATATTATTTGATCTCCCTCCATTCTGAGTACCATATTTTATGGACCTTATATCTCAAGGCCCATGACCATATAGATAGCAATTCCGGTAGTTATAAGTTTACGTGTTTACTTTTACAGGTATATATTCGGCTAATTTTCAAGTCCAAGGGTCTCAGTAGTGACTTATTTTGAATAATTTTGAATTCTTTTGTGTTACAAACCTAACAAGACTACAATCCATCCAAGCATATAACATCTAAAAAGCATAAATGTAAAATAAATAATAAACCACTTTGGGTGGTTACTGTCTGCTATTATATTCTAGACATAACAACCATTGATGGTAGATAAAATAACCTTCACATTTGTTCAGAATTTAGAAACTGCAGCTGTTCCAGAAGTAACGACTATAAAATCTATCAAAGGTTAAGTTACTCACTCCAATATTCTCATTTCTCTGTACAAAAGTTATGCAAGAACTCTTTTAACTTCACACAAAGGGGAATAATCCATTGAAAAGTGATACATTAAGAATTTTCCTGGCAATTGAATCTACCCACCCTTCCAGTCCAGACCAAGATCAGCTGGCACATCCATGCTGTCTGATCATGGTCTGCACTATTCACTGTTCAGTCAGTACTTATTTCAAAATTTATCCTGAAAACCAAGAATTGTCCAGATTAAAGATGGACAATTCTGTTTAAGATATTCAGGGTTAACAGACTTTGGATCAACAGACAATTTACAAAAACTTAAAATTACAGCCCTTAAGATACTGTGTGTAATTTAAACTTTAGGTAAAACATTTGATATTGTTAAGATACAACCTCTACAGAAAAACTTTATTACCCAAAATTTTCTAATCAAAAATTCAAACAAAAGTTTGGGGCCTTTTATTTAGTTCATACAGAATTCATATTTTAGTTTATTTGTGTAGGAAGATGTACAGTAAACCTTTAAAACACAAAAGTCACTCTCGAATCCATTCCTGGAACGAACCAGTACTGAGCAATGAGTGTCAAGTTTCTTGCTCACAAAAACAATAACTTGATCCTGGAAGGGTTTAAACCCATGTAATACCGACCCTTGATTACAAGTCTGATGTGTTAAACTCTAGGCCTTGCCAAGGGGCCCTTTATGTCATCTATAAACAAAGTGAAGCAATTAGTATAGCAAAGCCCAACCATTCTAAATAACTCAAAACTTATTTAGTATTTATATACTAGCCGAATACTGCTTATAATAAATACTACACCAAAAATATTTTATTTTTTCTATTTCAAAATATCTACCACAGAAAATATAACAAAGAAAATAAATAATTATCGTAAATAATAATATACTTTTTACCTTTTAACAAAAGATATAAAATAAAACAATCCAAATAATAATCCACTTGGATATCAAATTCCTCTGCAAATGATTTAACACGGAACACCACACCTAATGAAACTATACAACCATTGCCACACTTCTTATCATATCAAATATCTAGATTTTTTTTTATCACTAGATGACTTCCTTGTATGATTTAAGGAAAAAATACACAAGTAGACTGGGTGGATCGTGTATAAAACTAACAATGTAAAGATAATTCTTTAGTACATTACTCATTCTGGCTACCCAATCTAGTTATACCCTCCCAATATTTACACTCTCAAGTGAAACGCGATTATTTACAATGTAAAGATTTGTAACGTAGTTGAATAGTTTATACATTTATTTTCTCCACACGCTGGTTTAAATATCAGGTATTTTTTGGAGCGTATTTATTTACAATCATTATTATTATGCTAAATATCTTTTTATATACACTATCTACAAGCATATGTACAGAATGTCACTGGATATGAACCATGTTGCATATAATACAGATTACTGTAACGTAAATTCTATGAAACCTGCCTTTTAAATCAAAGCCACAAAAAAAACGCAAAACCTTTACAAAAAGGCAACAATAATTCTACATTTATCATGTCTCTTGTGTAAAAGGAACTTCCTTACTTTATGTTAAACTGACAATAAATTATTAATGTCACAAAGAAATGCATTCTGGTTCGTTTTTGTGTATTGTGCTCTGCCGTAGAGGAAAAACTAAGACGTCCCTGCGAAAAATTATTCATCAAAGATTTAAGAAAGTGTTTCAATTCATGGAACCAAGCAAAACCTCACTGAATATTCACAATGCCAACAAAGATTGTGAGCGTGGCTCTTTAATGGTGGAGAAAAAAACCCAACAAAATCTCCTGCTCACATTCACTTTAGAATAGGATACATGATTGTAGGAATACAAGATAAAACTATTACCATTCTAGAGATCCCCTCCTTCCTCTTATATTAATTTTACAGCTAAATATATATACATAGTCTGTTTCCCCTAGCCCAAAAACCTATTTTCCTTCTATTCTGTAAGTCTTTTACCCTAAAATGCCACTTTACACATTTGTTAGCATTGGCTTGATGGTAGCTGACTTCAAACAGCTTATTGATAGTTTTAATGTACAGAAAGCTGTCACAAATTCAATAGATTGCCTTTGCTATGTGCAGTACATTACTTTTTAAATTGCAATTTAATTGAAAATTTAAACAACAATGTGTGGCTAGCCTGTTTTGTTGTGTTCTCAGTAACTGCTGTTGGTGTTTGGTTTGACATCAGATTTTCCCCTTTTTCTCTGAGTTATTGCCCTTTAGAATAAATGTTGTTTTGAAAATTCAGAAATAAGTTACTGTGACTTCAAAGTAACTGGATAGCTTTCTCACATGAAAAACATATATCACTACTACATCAGTGTTCCCACTAGAATTTAAATTTGAGGGTACATGTACCCCCTAGGTCATATTTTTGGGGGTACACTTCACAGAATATGTGCCTCTAAGATTGGTTCATACTTTTTCTGAACTATTTTTACAGCAGCAGTCATGTAAGATTGTTGCTTTTTGGCGTTGCATGACACATTGTGATCGTCGCATTTCTGGTGTCTAACTTATGCTGACCGATGGAAATTACTAGTCCCAATTGTAAACGCCAATTTCAGACATTTTTTAGTGTTTTTTTCATATGTCTCGCATGTTAAACGAAACATTTCCCCGTTGTCTTTGTCAAATCTAAGCCATGAAAATTCGGACAACCAGGAGTTCTGAAATCGTTTGCAATGTTTCTTTTTGGGGGGTTCATCACTATTTTCACTAGGGCCTGGTTCTTGATTTGCGCTATAGGATTGAGTAAGGGTCAGCGATTTTTCGCTGGAATCGCTTTTATGGAACCATTCATTTAAATTGCGTCCATTTTTAATAACTTTTCCTGCGATTATTTAATATTTCAGACGGCTTATTTGTATTGCCTGATGTAGACTTGTTACTGCTTTTAAATATAGAGCGTCGCGAAGCGTAGTTAATCATTATAAACCAGTCCATGAGCTAAAAATAGCACAGCTGGGAAACCCGAGTTATGACCTCAGTTATGACTGATCGGATTAAATAATGGTCTTGTAAACAATTTCAGAGATTTATGAGTAGATTATTGATTTGTGCTTCGAATTTGCGGATAATTTTTTGGCAGTTTTACTTCAATTTTTATACGTGCATGCATGCACCTAGTTGTAATTTCATGCGTGATTTTTGTAAATTATACGTGATTCACGTACATTTGTGCGTGAATGGGAACACCGCTACATGTATAGTAGCATGGTAAGGAACCAACTTTCACAATGAAATCAGTTACTTTTGAAGCAATTGTAGCCATTTAGGTTTCAAAAATGGTAGAGCTCTGGCATTTTATTCTGCAGTAACCAAAGTTACACTAACCCTAGCATCATCAGCCATGGCAAACCTGGTATAGTAACACACCTGGGATGACTTTCAATCTATAATTTATCATTCTTTGGTAAAAGCAAATGCAATGGCAGTAAATACTGCAGTAACCAGAGATTTTGCTGTTTTTGGCATACATAAAATAGTGCTTACACAAACTCAAAAGTAGATTCAGAAAGATTTGTTACAAATATCATTTTATATTTATTTTTTTCATAATGTTTAGCAAAACCTATTTGATTTAATACAACAATGACTAAATAATATCTAAAAAATACCTTTTTGATAAAAAAAGTTAACAAATTAATATAACAATGTCTTAATAATATAACATGAAAAACATAAAAACACTCAGTTCAGCAATGCAAAAGAGCATACCTAACAAGTAAATGATGGAAAACTTGTTATTGCATATATTTAAGAGATGCAGCAGTGAACAAGCAAGTAAACAGGCAAATATAGAAGTCCAGACAATTTATCAATCAATAAACATCCATGCTTTGCTTAATGCATTCAGTCTGTCAAAGAAAATGGGAACAAACAATACAGGCATGGTTATCCTTTTTTCAACCAAATTCAAACACAATCACAAGCATTTCTTAATCAATTATGAAGTATTTAATTCCGAGTTAAATACAATTTGTATTTGCAAAGCATGTATTAAAATTATAACCATATTATTCATTGTAGCCATATATATTTTTCATAACAATGAAAGGTTTAGAAGTTGTATCAAAAAATTAGTTATTAATTAAGACTTACAACTTTTTTTGGAAAAATAATGCTTCAATTACAATTCATTATTAGATTAATTTATATACATTTTTCAATCACCATGATTTCAACAACAGAATATAAGAGAGATAATCAGTGTGATTTGTATGAATCACTTTGCTGAGTAATAATGACAAGTCTTGAAACAGAACTGAGTGGAAGGAAAGTGACTTAAGAATGTACGTATGATGTCATGAACTAAGAGATCATTATAGAAGACTTACAAAGTTGAAACAGGCATATAATTATTTGAAAGCTCAACACGGCAGGGAAGGTGAGATCATTCCGGGAGCAAAACTTACCAAACCAAGATTTAGACTTTCAAGTCTCACTGGATTAACCTCACGGAACTGTACTTCAGAATCAGAGACCCTAGACTGTATAATCAGTTAAACAAAAATAGATTTTAAGAATGAAAAGTCGAAACAACACAACAGTCAAAATAGCATGCCCCTAAAGCTAAAAATATCATTTAACACAAGTAACATTACTTTAAAAGTGGTATTCAGAGTGAAACCTGTTACCTCCTGATAAAAGTAACCACTTTCTCAAATGTTGAATGGTTCAAACACTTAATCATACTACTTTTTTTATAGTCCAAATATTTAAAGGCATACCACAGATCTGAAGCTATTTTTTACATAGTTTATTGACAAATGTTAAACTGTTTACAAACAAATGTATAACTACTGTTATTAATGTGAAGGACTCCATCTATTTTAGCTGGGACAACTGTTTAAGTTGGTAGTCCTACTCAGTCTAGTCTAAAGGTCCTGCTTTAAAAATCCTTGTGAGAAAACCAAAACAGTCGAGCATTACTAGGAAAGTACTAATACTAGCCCATCCATTACTAATACATTACATTTCAGCAATACTAACTATAAACTGCATTTTAGTACCACCTAAACATTAGATGCTAACTGCAAACTTATCATTTAACGTACTAGTACTACTACTGACATAATTATGTCACAAGTTTGACAAAATTTAGGAAGAATGATAACTCATGCACTTCATCTAGTATCACAACTGGATTAACACTTCACTTTTAAAGTTCAGTCAGTTTGAATCACACTTAAACAAAACAATTATTAAACTCTAAAAATGCATCTTATCCCATTTCTACATGTCATGCATTGCAAGACTGTGTTAAGGCGAAATATGAGTCAATTGCTAAAATTACCTAACTCGCACTTCAACTAGGCACGGGAATTATACCGGCTCACTTTACACAAATAATAATAACGTATTAACTGCTTTCATTGTTTTTAACGTCGTGAAATTAATAGAGGAAAATGGATCTTATTGTTATATAATTATATTTTGCGAAATATACAACATTAGATATTACAGTAATTTATTGTTTGATTATTTCTATAAATTAATACAATCGATCTAATGAAATATGTATTTCCTTTGATAACATTTATTTTACTGTTAAGCTGCATATATTACAATAAAAATACATTAAACATGACCGAATACGTTGTTTTTCGTCGCACTGCCAAAATTGCGTCTACAAACAGCAAAGTAGTAACGTTTATACTTTGACAATTTGTATTTAAGCAACACTAATTTTACTTATAAACCATGACAATTTCACTTTAAATTCATCTGCTGAGGAACACAACGTTTTTGTCAATATTACAGGATTTTGAGTCAAACTTCACACAATCCGCCATCTTGATTCAAGGGTGTGCCCTCGTTTTGGATCATCATACAGACGTAAAAAGTAGACCCAGATGTTTTAATGTTTTGCCATCTAATCATGTAATATTAAATTGCATGCTTCAAGAAAACAGATCAAGAGGTAAAAGTTCAATTAACTGATGATTTCTTTTCATCAGTAAGTTGTCAATTATGTTTTCGCGTAGTAAGTTAAAGGTATGTAAATAACCTTTCACCTATATTTCCGTGCACCGTGTATTAAGATACTAAATTGTATTTTTACTCTGAAAATTGTGTGCCTCCATAGCTCAGTGGTTAGAG